ATTTTGTCAAAACATAATCGGAATTAGCTATAAGGCACGCGTATAGACGCCACCAAGGTCTCGTTGACAATTTTCATCCCGCCGCACCTTAAATTTCCCCCCCAGGTATATTTATGTGAACATTTGAATAGAAACTTGTTAGCTCTCGCAAAGGCAAGTTAACAACGGAGAGATTTTGGCGATTTAACCATGTTTATATAAGGGATTTTGCGATAAATTTTGGCAATGACATTGACACCGACAGTCTGGATTTTTAGATATCTTAAGGGGCGATTTCATCATCTTCCGATATTTATCATGTAGCTAGTCGAGTATAGTTAAAAATGAACTGTGAAAGCGTGTGAAAGCGGTTATCACTTACAAGTAGAACACGATTTAGTAGAGCTTGATGTCCAAATTCACATTATCAACGTCATATTTAAAAAGGATAAGCGTATTAAATGTTGATAGTTTCTGGAATATTGAGAATGTTTCTCACAAAGGGACTTCTAGCGACTCTAGTTAAGCTGCTTTTACAAAGCCATTTTTGAAACAATGTGTTGCTTATATCCAGCCCTATTACCTCGTACCTGAGTCCTGAGGTATATTACCTCTATATCCAGTCCTATTACCTCGTATCTGAGGTATATTACCTCTATATCCAGTCCAATTACCTCGTATATTTCGAGATCATACACCAGTACTGTTCTACTTTAAGCGACATATAAACAATACTGCACTTCCCCTATGAGAACCGCTCGTGTAAGTCGTTTCCTTATTACAGTTTTTGTGTAGGTCCACCACAACCAAACTAGAGCGAAATTTTTACACTTGAACATGTTGATATATTGTGCAGTTGTTGAGTTTCAGTAGTCAGGGAAAATTTGTCTTCATATACAAACACATCGAACAAACCAAAGCAAAAGAGATCTATACATTCCCATGCAAGATATATATGCCTGTAGCTACTGCTACACCAACCATCTTGCCAGTAAGCACATGCAGTTACTTTACAAATAGCAGTGTTCTCGTGACCTTTGGAAATCAACCTATTGATCGATGCGACGGTTTCGAACCAAAATGACAATTTAACCGACGTCCGTGCATATCATAGGTGTTACGCGAAATTAATCCAAAATTTTAATGTTCCTAAAGTGAAACGGGAGTGTCGTTTCCGGTGAGCAATTAATCAATATATACTTTAAAAGCTTTCGAAAACTGGTGTCATTTACCAAAAGCTGTTAACAGCTGCGAAAAGTACTTAACTCGATCAAGACGCTTGTAAATGATACATTTGATAAATAAGGCTAATTTCGAACTCGTCATGCCACGATCGCTTGCTAAAGACAAGGCGGCCTTTTCTACGTCGAATCGCGCGATGTCGTTGTGTCTAAAGGGCGTCGGTGGAGCATATCTGGTAGAGAGAAGCATGTCGAGCAGACAGGGAGAACAAGCCGCGGAGAAGCCGAAGCGCAGACGGCACAGGCCGAATGCTGCCCAAAAGGAGCGCGAACGACAACGCGTGTTTCGCGAAGCCTTCGCAACCTTACGAGAGCACCTTCCCTTGGAATCGTCGAAGAAAATCCCGAAGAGAGACATTCTACGACTTGCGGCACAGTACATAAAGTATCTCACAAACCTTTTGAATCAACCCGGTATGCGGTATATAATGGAGGGCGCAATTTAGCTGGGACTTTGCCTGCACAGACCCAGCGCAGTGCTAACGAAAGTCTAAGCATGCACCTGGCCATGGGATGAAAACAATGTTTTTAAACTCTTGATGTGAACACGATGGGTAAACAGTTGCACGTTGTAAATTCACGCAACAAAGCCGACAAAATCCACTGAGACACTTATGTTCTCGAGATCATAAAAAGAGGAAAACTGAAACAGTGGCGTAGCCAGCCTGACGATTTTACCATGCTATGCAAATTTTATGGTATTATCATTTTTCGTATATTCAGAAATTCATTGTTTTCATAGTGAATGAACACCAAAATATTGGCATTGCATGACTAAATCGTCGAGCTAGTGGCTATACCACTGAACTTGCCATGAACTTCTCGAGGGGATTTGCGGCTACCTTACGCTGTTATGCATCTATATGATCGTCAGTCATCGACTGTATTTATATATATTATATTGTGAAGTAAAAAAAGAAATTAAAAAAAGTAAAAATTGTTACTGATTACAGAGTTTGAAAAATTGAAAGCCTGTGTCTGTCAGAGTATTATATAGTTATGTTAGCTGTAGCCGGTTGTACATTTGTGGATTCATTTTTTCACTGCGCACACTCACCAATTTTATCCGTTCTCGCAGCTTCTGAGTGGGTCGGTACTATGAGCAAGAAAATATGATAGGGATACCATTTTCATCCGGCTGAAACTTGGCAAGCATGCATGTAATTGTAGTGTAAACAGATTAGGCCATTGTCTCATTGGCAATTGTTTACCAGATCAAACAGAAACTGAATCATCTTAAGTACTAAATGCTATTCTGTGTAGCTACTATTTATTCATCAAAGGCGATTTTCCCCTAGGTGAATTTTTCGAGCAAACGAAATTTTTCGCTTGACTATTCATTTCAATTGTTCTCACAATTGAAAAGAAAATTAGGTGAAAAATTGCGTTCGAACGAAGAATTCTAACAACACCGAACATTTGCATATCTTGCGTGGGTGTATGTAAACCATATGAAACAATCAATAGTGTTGCACACATTTCGTGATCAGTCGAACAGGGAACGTTAGTTCAAGCGTTCACCACCAGGATGCCTATCAAAAACAGGATTTTTGGATTAATAAAATAAAGACGAAAAATTTGTGACCTGGAACCAATGAGTCTTCCTGCTGAACATGAGTTTTTTACACACGCACGTAGATTTAGACATGACGTCAATTCCACTGAGGCACGAACCCGCATTTGTACGAGCTTGATTATATATTGCTCTATCCTGCGACCCAATTGTGAGATCGGCTAAACACTGCCTATCGGCCGGTCGTTATGGTTCACGCTGGCTAATAATTGGCGCGATACTACGTTGCTGTGACATGAAAAACAAATTTAAATTTTCAATGGTGCTATAAATTATGCATATTACAATGGTAGTATTGTGTCTTCAATTTACAGTAAAGTCTGCTGTCAACTTTTCTGATTCATGCTAATATCATAATCGGGCATATGCGAAGATCTGTTGCTCTGATCGTTACATTATGCCCGCTTATATGAGTGGCGCAATACTAAAATGCTGTTATATCAAAAAACTCCGATCATTTCAATGGATCTAGAAATTTTGCATATTAGAATTGAAGATTGGCATCTTCAGTTTACAGTAAAATATGCTTGCAACTTTTCGAACTTTCGTTAATATCATAATCAGGCATAATGCGACGATCAGTTACTCATCGGCTGTTACATAATGGTGACAGCAACGGAAATCACTTTGTTGCGACGCGACAATTAATTTTGCTGCTGGGACGAGGTGTTGCGGACATCACAACTTGAAAGGACCGCGCGCACTATATGACCACTCATGCTTTACATATCCACACCAATTACTCAAAAGTATAAATGAAACACCTAAACTCTGTTCCTTCCCCGTCAAGTAGATATTCTTATTGAAACTTTCAGCTGATTTCAGTTTGATATTTAACAAGGAACGTCTGGTTCCGTTATCGCTTCACTCTCTATATATCGTCGAGTCAGCGAATTGTTCGTAATCTTTGCACTCAATCAAGCGGATACAACAACTGTCTATTAAAAACGACTGCTCAATAAAACCAAAGAGTCTTAGACGAGCTCAATATAACCAAAGAGTCTTAGACGATGTATTCCCTATATACAAAAGGCCTTTGGCTCGAAATGTTGAGAAGATTTTTTGTCTCTTTTAGCTATAGGTATTTCATTTGTATACCATGCACAAATTGCCGAAAAATTTTTCGCTTTCAAATTATCACGCATATTTGGGCTGCCTAGGATTTAAAGAGTTTTTCGAAGTCTCCACGCCGTTCCCCGACGAATCGAACAAGCTCGGTTAGAATTTATAGCCAAATGTGCAATCGATGTTTCATCCATTTTACAGCTGCCGAATGATTATGAATAAGCTCGCTTGATGCTAAGGAAATTCCTGGGTACGAGGTTGGCTTGATTGTACTGCCTTGCCTATACTAGCAGTCTAGCACTAGAAGATGAAGATAACACGCAATATGAAAACGCACGTACCAGGCTGGTTATGTCGATAGTTACACGTTCAACCGGCATAAACTATGAATGCCCGGTTTTCATTACATTATATTTATTTGCACGCCACGGTAAAAATGTTTCTTCGATCTCTTCGGTCGGACTACAAAGAGTAGATTTAGGACAAGTTTTTCCATCATGATTCGACTGCATTTTGAGCTCAATGGCCAGGTACGTGCATGTTATGTTACACCACATGCACGGTCCGCTTTGTATCAGTCAAGGTCTTTTTAACCTCTTTGGCTGCTTTACGCTTTTTCTGCATTATTTTTTTTATTCGCAAACATCTATCCGTCGTTTCTAGAACCGTTGTAGATAATCTAATCATACTCGATCGACAAAATGATTAATTTTAAAAGTATACTATAATTGATTAATACTAATATGAAAAATATTACGTACATGCACTCTCTAAAAATTTAGCCTAAAGTAAAAATGAAGGTAGTGAATTTGCTATAGAGTTTAAGCATAATTCAAGCAATTGAACATTTTTTTAAAAATGAAAATTCAATAAGAGCATTCATTCTACTCTGCATCATAAACGAACTTCGAGGAGAAAGATTCACTGTACGCATACGCGAGACCTTAGCGTGCATTGTTTTTTATGACTTTTTTAAAAGCCTATATAACATTTATTAGCTAGTATCAATGTGTGGTAATGCGTCGTATAATTCTAGTATCAATGTATGAATTGATGCATCGCATACTCCCGTCAAATTTGAACTCCAATTGAATAAATATTCAATTGGATAGGTTAATTAAAATATGGTTGCATGGATGCAATTTGATTTTCACAAAATTTTAATTTGATTTCCACCCCAATGCATTAAAAAAGGGAAACTCCTTATGATTATGCAGTCTTAATTCGCCATAACCTCTCTGGCCCGTTTCACTTTCTCAGCAAATTCCAGTGCGTCCTTTTTGAACTTGGATGGCGCCCTATCAGGATTGTCCAGTTCTTCGTTGTACATTTTTTCTACAGCTTCCTTGATCAATCCGATACGTCCTCCTTGGTTTGCAGTGACCATGTTAATAATGGTGGCTGGAACACTACCTTTTATTTTAAAAGAAAAAAATGAATGTTGATTTGTGCACTTGAAATTCTCCTGCATGGTGAACTCTGTAATTATAGCTAAGAATTGAATTCTGGTAACACAGGTGAATGAAACCATCGACATTTGAAAGTTCACATATAATGCACCTTTTAAATCAAAATGAGCTACATTAGTCGACATGATTCGCGGTGGATCTTCGCTAAGAACTTTGAGCACAACGCCGGCAATTAGAATCGAACCCCTAAACACAATTATACTTCATGTATTAATAGTGTCAAAAATCGGTATGATAATTTATGATAAAGGCCCGTTTACACTACACTGGATTCGCTAGTCACGATATCTTCGTTTGTTTCAAAGAGCAATTTTAGTAACAAATGCTTATTAGTTTGATAGATTTGGTATATTTCGATCTCTGACAGTTCTATTTGACATTTCTACTGCCTTTTAATAGCTACAAAATTTGACCCACTCCGGAAGCAATCCGGTATAGTGTAAACGGGGCCTAAATTTATTAACTGCTCCATAACCATCATATATATGCATTGCATAAAGACGAATCAAAATGACAAAAAGTTTACCGGACATATTTCTTGCAAGGGGGACATGAATGATGTTCAACCTGCGAGAATAACTATCCAGATTAAACTGACTGCGTAAATTAATAATGATCATTTACACACGTTACTACAGTGATTACGATGGGCACTATAGTATCTAATAGTATGACCACCTAACTATTCCTTTAGTATATAGAATGCAACTTACGTGTTTTGTGAAAAACGTTACTGTACCATCTTGTAAGACGCGAACAGCACTTATGCTACAAAAATCTCGAGGACTGACTGGCCATATGCCTTTGTACTTCAAGTAGATAACCTTAGTAAGACCTCCTAGCACTTCAATCTCTTCACCTAAATCAGCGGGGAAAATGATCGCGGGGTCTTTTGTTGTTCACCAATAGCGATCTCACTCAACGATTTGCAAGCCGATTGTTTCAAATTTGGCCATAATTTACTCCCTCTTGACCGAGTGCCTTATACCTTGCCAATTTTATTCAATGGGTCCAACCACCTCATCTATCAGCAGGTATACTGTTTCTGTGTCATAGTAAATGTGTGTGCACGTTGGTAGAGATTAATGGATTTCTCTCGCTCGTGCAAGCTCATATTGTCAGCGGGTGTCTTATGTACAATTATAAGATCAGTAGGTAAAATGCAAAGCTTTTAACTTCTTTTCTGTGAACCGCTATACTGAGAAAAAGACTGGGACAGCTGTTCTAGGGAAATGTTTCGGACAGTTCTGACTAGTGTAGTAAGTGAGTTTCAGCCAACGGTGAATTTGTGGCATGTTTTGATAAAAAGTAATACTTGCTTACCGGCATCAAACATCTCATCATGGTCAGGCACATTGTCAAAATTATCAAGATAAGACAACAGAAAGTGCAATGGAACATTAATCTCTATTGTGCCTTTTGAGCAATCCCAAATACTAAAGTCAGGACTCGCAGGCTTTCTGAGAACTTCGACACCTCTGTGAAAGTTTTTGATAAATTAGTAATTACATTACGTACAATTTCAGATTCGGAACTCTCTTTCTTAACACTGGATTAAGAATACTTCAGTTAGTTTTGATACACACTCACTTTATATTTCCTACGAACTTCCACCCGTTTTCATTCTCTTTGGCATTATAAAACTCCATCAATTCCTTCAACGCACCGTCAACAACCATTTTGTACCTGTTCATTGCACAAAAATACTAACAATTTTTAAAAATCTTATTAATTGTACTGGTCTTCTAACACTTTTGAAAAGTGGAAATTTCAAGCACAATTTGAGCTTCTACGAATTCGGGAAATATGAATGTCACTCACGTTGGAGTATCTTTCTCGGGGTTAAAATAGATCCCAGTACTATCAACAGATTTCTGAAAACAAGGACAATTAATATAAGATTTCAACTGTACATGGTAAATAATAACACGCTGTGTTAAGTTCAGTAGATTTTTCCATGGTCCTTTCACAGTGTTATTTCAAACTTTCAATACAGAGGACTATCTTGACTAAATACTCCCCCCCCCATTAACTCATACCGAATGTGTAAATATACCATTGATGGGAAATATATGTTTCTACCTTGGCTTGTATTTCCTGGTTCTGCTGACTATCCATACTTCCAGCTGAAAAATACGACAAAGAAATAGTAAAACGACTTTCAAAAAGGTTAACAACAGATACTCCTGTTCTTGGTTCTTACTCCTTGGTTCTTACAAAGAGATAAGCGATTCGTCGAATTTAATATTCCACATTGCACATTGATTGCACATTCATCCCCTCCCCCCATGCCTGGCTCCTAGCGCCGCCACTGTGAATACTCATATATGCGCTTTATCTTTAGGGTTCTAAAATATTTAGGGTTCTAAAATATTTAGGGTTCTAAAAAATTTAGGGTTCCAGCATATGGTGATTACTTCTAAATTTTTTCTTATCATAATTTTTATAGTATTCCGTCGATGTCTCAAACATCCAAATTTCTTAAAACAATTTTCTACAAAAAAGGGCTTGAAAATAAACTAGGTTTGTTTAATCTCTGCACGACTGACAGCGCGAATGGCACGTGAAAAATTGATGCGATAAATCAATATGCATCGAAGAAAATAATTTGAAATACGATGCTAATATAATTGATGCCATACTATAGGTTCAGGTCAGAACTTGACCACGACAGATAATTTGACTTTTTTTACTTTATTCTCCCTATAAGTTGCTTTTAGATCGCATTCTATTCCAAACTGCTTTTCCCGATTACGTATCTATAAATTCGGTCACGTATTTCAACTTTTAATTTCATGCTATTACAGGATTTACAGAGTATACCGATTCATGTCGTCATGTCGACATTGCTTTGACATGCAATCACCTTCAACAACACACAATGTCTGATCATAGTCTGATCGAACTTCGAAGGTCGCGTTACGTTCATGTCCCTTTAGGCAATCATGCATGCATTCATTGCATCGAGAATTTAGTATATGTAGATTTAGATGTGCGATTAACCTATAGTTTCGGTTACCTAATACACGTACGTAGAGCTATATATACTCTGCAGCTTTCAGCCATTATATTTATGGCATCTCAGATGCGGCATCTGCATGAATTTTAATTCGAATATAAAAAAATGAAATCTTACCAAAAAACTATGCAGTATTGGGAATATCAAATATTTCCAATAATCCTGTAAGTATTATTACTCGGTGGAATGACTGGAATCTTCCTCGCCTTGACCTTTATATCCGTAAAGAGACGACTTGCGTAGAATTGGACTTTGGACTTAAAAACCAATTATTATGGACTGCTTGTATATATAAGCGCTCTGAGTGTGTCATGTGATTTAACCAACTTTTATAATGAATATGTCCACCGCTAAATTACAGGTTACTGATGTCAAATGAATATTCTATGAATACATCCAACTCAAAGCTAGACCTATGTATTAGTTAGTGACTTAATTCATTCAGTGGCACCGAGGAGACAGCGTGTTTTTTTGACCCGAGGTCGAGGCCGCAGTTGTTGGTCGAGCGGTCGAGGGTGCTCGAAACCACTAAACTAGGACTATATATATATACATACATAAAGCGATCATCAGGCTAATGACAGGTCTAGTAGCAACTAGACCTGTCATAAGCCTGATGATCGCTTTATAGCGTAAAACTCCGAGTAGCTAAGCTAGTCTTTTAATAAATAAATATATCTTCGCTCTGCCGGTAATGGTATTGAGCGCTCTCCAACCATTGTTCTGTGAACTCTTTGTTACAGTCAATTCTTTGGATATATATATAATATATAATATATGTATGTAAATGTATCCATTTGCCTGATGATCGCCTTGAGCGTGAAACACCGTGTAGCGATGACAATATTCAGTTTAGATTAAACATTTATTTATTTATTTATATATATTATATATATATAATATATATTATATTATATATATATATATATTATATAATATATTTATATATTATATTATTATATATATATATATATATATATATATATATTCATTATATAAAGTGTAAAAGTAATTAAAAGGAAATGGAAAACAAATCTTGTACAACTACTGGTACTGAAATATTATAGATTTCACTGCATCCAGTAGTCGCATAAAGCTCAGTGGAAAAACAGTTGACGTTACCATGGAAACAGAAAAAAGGCAAAGTTGTAAAGTTTCCCAACATGGCGGTTAATTTAATAAAGTTTTGATAAGAAATCGTTCTATACTCGCTTGAATACGGCTGTCCGAACAACATTATCTCTTCAAGTATCGTGAATATAAAATTGTCTCGTCTGAAATGTCGGGGGAGGTAGAGAACAGCTATAAAATCCGTCCAAACTTCAAGGAAAAGTAAGTTTCATTTTAATAAATAATACAGTAGAGTACAGTTAGTTTAGACTCGATTTATTAAATATATAGTTGAGTCTTTTGTACGCGCCTTTTAATACTACTGCTCTGTGCTGCGTTGCATCTGTATCCTTGGTCAGTGATTATTGCAACTGTGTTTATGGAATACAATTTATGTATTAAACTAGCTATAACACAAATATTACATTCGAAATAAAATGTGGTTGTCTATTTAATAATTTGAATAATTAAAGTACAGTATATGTACAGAATATAGTCAGTATAATCAATCAAGTCTCTTATTTCTGTGTTCTTATTCATCATTGTCTGGCATTCTAGCTGGACAATCAGACAATCATTATGCTAGGACTATAGATGTAAGCTATATTTACATAAATTTAATACACAATGCAAAAAAATCTTTCCAATTTAATATAACTTTTAAAAAGCAAGTCTGCACACACCAGTACAAAAAGTTTAAACTGGTTCAAAGCCACCACCAGTTTTCACCACCCAGACTTAAAATTATATCTCAACTCGAAGTACATGCAACTGCATGACAGAGGTACAAAATGCTTTTTCGAGAAAGCTAGGTTTCTTGATTAGAAGCAACCAGAGAAAAACACAACCTTGAGCAACTGCAAAATTAACATTGGCTTGCCCCAAAAAAAATTAACGCAAGTGTCACATTTTGTACTTGACATTTTGTACAAGTACAAATTGTTTTATGTTTGTTGTGGAATTATTTTTTAAATCAAGAATGAGGACTTCACTAGTCAAACTCATAAAGCTTTGTTTGTTTCATGAATATATTCTTTAAGTGAACTTTATAAATGACAGTAAATACAATATAACAATAATAAGAAGAAACTGGGCATAATGCAATCAACTATTTCAATATGGGAAGTCTAGTTTGCATTATTTTTCCCTGTCAAATCTCAGTTCAAATTCTGCATGTAGTGATAATTAATATACATTTTCTCATAAAGTGGAAGTCAAGTCCATATGTGAACAATTACAGTTGTGAACAATTATCTTTTGCACTTTTATACTTTTTAAAAATTGAACACTATACTTTAGGCTTGCAGTGCTTCTAAATGAATATTAATTAGAGTATATGTTCAGAAAAATTTGAAACATGTGAAATTTGAGCAATTTTTACATCAGAAGTCTCTCACATTGTTATGAGCAGAACCAGTGCACAGACGTCCTCTATAAGTATTTATGTGCAAATTAAATTGATAATAGGTCAGCAATATATGAATTAAAGTACACGGCCAGAAATTGATCAGGTTGTCGTATCAGGGGTGAACAATGTTGTGCTGCACCCTGGGAACAGTATTAACAATGTTGTTGAACCTTGTTGAATCATCAATGTTGTTGCAATCGCGATGCAATGTTGTTCGTAACAAGTTGCGTCAACATTATTAACAATACTGTTCACAGGGTGCAGCACAACATTGTTCACTCCTGTTTTTAACAACTTGCGTCAACATCATGATTTTAGTACAATTTTGTACAAATTTAAACCTTTTTCAAAAGTTTACCTCAAAACCTCAGAGTCCTCAAAACATTCTAATGTTTGCCGCCACTTTGTTGTACTTTGTTACGAATAGATTAACATGTGCAAGCAAGTTTCTAAACAAAGCATATGTTAATATGGATGAAGGTAGCCAATAAAAACGTTTGTTTTGAATACTTCATTCATACGAAGCAGATTAAATCTTTGAACTTTGCATTTTACGGAAACCGCTTTGTGCAACCAACTGTAGCCAAATATTGTTATTGTTAAATTTGGAAACGCAAAATCTAGAAGGAAAACTGAGGTAGCTATTACAATAGCAGTATATAATATAAAAACAAGAGAAAAAAACTGATTGAATTCGTCCTCCATTAGCCGCCTCTCACCTTGTTTTCTGTGACTGAATTTACATTAAAAAGGATGTTCTGATGTACTAGATTCCGTCCAGTAGCAATTAAATCACTTATACACGATGTGCTAAACGAAGAACTGAGCGGCAAGCAGTACAACAGCGAAGAATGTACGACATGGTCAAAAACGCTGTCAGAGGCTATAAAGGCGAAGGTGAAAGGTAGTTTTCCAAACAAGTATTCCAAACAAATATACAAGTAACAATAAATTAGTGAATCATGACCGAACTATGCGTGCCTAAAACAGCAAAAGAAGCGAAAAATAGCCTAAAATCATTTTCGAGTTAAAAAACTAATTAAACTATTCTATAGAACAGTATACTTTTAATCTTCTTTTTTGCGTGACTTACTACTGGAGTAATTTTAAGTGAACGCTGCAGTGTAATTGATATTCGTTTTTGTCTAATCATCAAGAAAGACTTCTTGATCAAACGTAAACCAATGCGCATTCTCGTTAAAGAACTTCTTGGTGATAAAATTTTGCACGGCATTTAGTCACAGGCTGCTTAAATCAATTATATAGATCTAAATCTGGACAGATACAAAATATTGGTGCAAGTTGTAATTGGTGAGCAGCGAGGAGAAGGAGTGAAGTGAGTGAATTAGTGTTACCTTGGTGATTGCATGATAGTGAAACTAAAATGAAAAGAATGCCTTTTAAATTTCCGCTAAATTTTATCCGTTTTTGCATACAAAATGTTCATACTACTGTATAAAGATCTCAATGATCTCCAAGAAAATTAAATTTGTGAGGATTGAAAAGTTATTTGAAATAAAGTTTTTGCATGAGATAATTCCGTCATAAGATAAGAATAACGGGGTTTCGTGCGGGGTCAATATCCCCGGCTACAAACAATGAAAAATTCTTGGCCACGCTCGTGGGGAGACTCAAAATGACCTCCGAATGCGCCTTAAATTTCCGCCTCTTTGGCCACACCTTTTTTTATATATATATATATGGAGCTCGCTGAATCAAATAAGCTGCAATATTCCCAGAATGACGAAAGATGAAAAGTTTCCGATGCGAATAAAATTTAAAATGCTAATGAGAGAGCTTTCTCGCTTTTTCGGCTTTTGGATTCCTCCCAAAAGCGTCTGCTTGTAGCTACAATGATGTCATGCAGCTATTCATGAACGCTCGAATTTAGTCCCTTTGGCTTCTTTTGAATAGAGTGGCTTGCCGATGTCTTTGGGATTCAGATACGGACAATTATGCCCAAGATATATTTATGACGGTGAGAGACTCGTTTTCATTAAAATTACAATGCTGCACTCGTTTTCATTAAAATTACAAATTATCATTCAACATTGTTGTTGGCTTCATGTTGAAGCAACACAATGAGTGTAAAAAAATAGTGCAAATTATCATTCAACATAACAGTTGGCTTTATGTTGAAGCAACACAATGAGTGTAAAAAAATAGTGCTATTTGAAAGGAATACCCATACTGTTGCAACTTTTTTTCATATGCTGCATGCTTTCCGTAAATCTGCTTTCTACTTTAGTTTGCATGGTCGATATATGAAAAAATTTTTTAGCTGTTTTTCACTACGAAAAACTCACCAGTCCTACTATGTTATACGTTAGTATGTCTCTGCGACAATCGGGAGGGATTTATTGATGTTTTCAATAGCCTGCATTCTCTCTCCCCGTGTCTGCTGCACTCCATCATCCCTAGAAAATTTTTCAGTACAAAACAAAGAATCTAAAGCATATAATAATGATATTTGAGTAGCAGACTGCATATTAGCTATGTCATATATTTTCTAAAGGGAGTCAAAGGCAATTAGTGCAACTCTAGTTAATCAGTGACACTGAGCGAAAAAAAGGCTCAGAACTATATTTTCTGGTACATACCTGCCTAAACAGTAACCACATGCAAAAATTTTGAAAGTTCGACTATTTCTCTTATTTGCAGGATACTTTCTTTTGTGTGGCGTCAGTATACGGTGTCTATCATTATTAGTCATGCGTGAAACGTTAAAACGTCTTAGTTTAATTCAAGCGTTTCTTGTTCTATATTTTTTCCAAATAGTTAAATCTTTCAAATATTTCTTAGTATCAAATGTATAGGACAGGAAAGCTATAATTTATTAATATACAGTAAAGTTTACTTTTAATAATATACGCCATTCTCATTGCATGTTCATATATATTATTTCGTGCATAAGAGGCCCGGCAATCATGAATTGGTTTGACTTGTTATAGAGTATCACAAAGATATATTAAGCCAATAACTTGCGTGCACAATTGCTACTGTTACTGCTCTCTTCTGCAACACTTATTTTATCACACTTGATAACATACAATTTGCATATTACTCCATTTTGCTTTACCTGCATTTGCAATTTCCATTTTTCAATAAGTGTTCTTGCTCCTTGCAATGTAACTAAAATAAAAAATTACTATAGTATTAAAATTCGGGTTGTAATATAACCTAAAATTATAGACCTGTATCTTCCATAGAGTTGCTATAAGATTCTTCCAATATATTCAGAATAACTTCGTAAAATATATTCAAAATTTCTCGCTAGAGTTACGAATTGAAAAATATTGGTCAACTTTTTAAAGGTTAATAAACAAGGTATATATCTACGATAATGGAGTTTTGTTTTTAACCCGATCCAGTACCTCTAGAATTTTTGGGTTAAACTAAGTGGTTTGTCAAGTGGATTTCAAATTTGTAAAATTTTGCAGCTGCATCCAAAAATTTGTGACCGCAATTGTTGTGGCGGAGTACCACAAGGATCTAACGTGGGTCCTCCGCGATTCCTTATTTTTCATGAACTATTTAGATCAAGGAATGCTTGCCGACGACACGAATATACGTGCCCCATCTCAATGAAAGGAAAATTTAAACAGCGCCTAATTCTCAAAGCTAATGCACAACTGTTTTCGTCCCATAAACTTGCACTTAATAAGATGAATCTATGATAATTGGTTCATATTAGAAAATATCGAATATTGAACCTTAGTATTAAATTCAGAAAAAGTATTGAAAGGTATATAGAACGACTGGAGAGTTGTGTTACCAAGTTATATATAAGTTAGCAGTTTCATATTTTGACTGTTGCAGTCTTGTCAAAAAGGTAGCTGGGTGCATGGCTGGGGTACTAATTAAAGTGGAAGCGAATAGTTTGGATGGATACTGAAATAAAATGAATGCTGAAAGAAATTAAACAGCACTAATCTCAGTTTCCGTAGTACTGGAAATGTGGTCAAAATGCTCCGTATATACAACCGAAAACAAATTTTTTGAACCAGTTAACTGCTACTGCTGCTGTTGCTGAAGGATATAAAATTGTAAAACGTTTTAATAAAAAATTAATATATAAAATAAATAAAAAGAGGCTGTAACGCGCACGGCTGCACAAAAGTTTCAAACATTGTCATTTAACATATAAATTCCCCTGTTTTCCATCAACCATAAAACTCCCTTTCGGTTGAAATACGTAAAGATATATAATCTACATTTGCTGAAATTAATTTTTAAAAAAATATTGTGTGAAGTTTGTTAATGTTACTATTCCCCTAAAGCAATACATACCACTTATTAACCGAATTTGAGGTCCGTACTAGAAAAATGTCAGACCGAGGTCTTGACATACATAAAAGACCGAGGTCTGATAATTTTCCAGTACGGACCGAACGCATTCGGGTAATAAGGGATTTATTATATGGCATACAGTATTTAGTTTATTTATTTATACAATTTCGCCAAGCAAGCACTGAAGCGGCTTCCAAAACTTTGTTTTTTACACGTTAAATAAGAATCTCGATAAGAATGATACAGTAATATAAACAAAAATCAAAGATGAATATAAATATAATATTCACATGTACCAAATAATGCCCTTCTTTGTCCATTCTTCGTCGATATTTTTCGTGTCAAAAATAAAAGTGCAAGCTTGTTTTTGTTCAAAAATATGAGAGTTGGACCATAGCAGCCCAGAAATCTGTTTGTACTCAGTCTTCGACTACATTGTTTACGCGCGCGGTAGACAGTAGAAGCTGATCGCGCGCGTAAACAATGTAGTCGAAGACTGAGTACAAACAGATTTCTGGGCTACCTATGGTTGGACCGTTACTACGGCAACGGTCTAATACTGGGGGATTCCAGACCGGCAAAGAACCAATCAGCGCACGCCATTTAGTATGTAAAAATATGTAGAACTTACATTAAAGATTCGCAATGTTTTACAGTTTCGTATGCTCTTATGCGCGTTAAAAACCTTTTAGAGAGAGGTTATAGAAAAATTAAATCCTTAAATTAAATTCAAGAGTCCTCGAGGTGACAAACTCCTTCTTCACAACGAAGCTGATTTCGTGGCTTTGCAACAACTCGAAAATCATTTGGTCGAATGATCATTTGTGGTTTTGATACTGTTGTCGACGGCATCTCGGCTCCTTCGGGCAAATCGATCTTGTAGCGTTGCAGTATCACGGAAGTGAACGAGAACAACATAACCTTTGCTAGTGAATGACCAGGACATTCTCTACGACCAATGCCAAATGGAAGTAAACCGTGCAATTTATTCCAGCCGACGAACTTGCTCTCGTGGTCCAGAAATCGTTCAGGTTTAAATTTGTTTGGTTCGGGCCATTCTCGTCCATCGTGATGCAATTTCCTAAAATTTATAGCGACAAATGTACCTTTTGGAATGCGATAACCAGCGACGGTCGTGTCACGTATCGCATTCGTCCCGCTTAACGAGAACATTCCTGACGCTCTCAGAACTTCACACAGAGTAGCTTGGATGTATGGCATGTTTTCTGCATCCTTCAATCTGGGCAATCTTTCTCTTCCTACAGTGGTGTCAAGTTCTTCGTGAATTTTTTTTTGAACATCAGGATACAGGACGAGGTACAGAAAAAGCCAACTGAGGCAAGTTGACGTTGTTTCCGATCCAGCTAGAGCGACGTTAAACATCAATCCAGGAATGTCGTCTTTTGAACCAATTTCTTTCGATGTCTCCTTTTGGATTTCTTTATCGTATGCGCTGATAAAGCTATCGGTGAGATCACGGACAACGCCGGGAATGTAGCTCTCTTCGTGCTCTCGATATTCTTGCGGGAATATCGTGTTCTTAATTTCGATTGCTCTCTGAATATCTCGACGGAATCGTGTTGGTAGATAACAAAGAAAAGGAAACAGTTGGTATAAAGTGCTTAACATTGCTTGTTTGGTTAGAAGAGCTGAGAGTTCACTGGTTTGTTTTATGATTGGATCGTCCAACGCGACCTTTTTCGTTGTCAGCCATTCCCACAACTGAACCCGAATAGAAGATTCGAAAAGATTTTTCGGGCAGAATGACCTGCCAGGCTCGTCTTCTATTTCTTTGATGGCTATTTCAACCGCATGTCCTGCACGTTCAGAAGCTTGCTCTTTCCCAGCGCCAAAAACATGCATTGCGGTTATAAATACTTTCTTTTGAAAACGGTGTTCAGATGAGTAATCAGATGTAAACAGATTCTTCCCCGTCATCTCGTTAAGTGGGTATATAAAATTTGGTAATCTTCCTGCGATATCTTCTTGTTTTCCTGCAAGCCTTGCCTCGCGCGCTAGCGAAGCAGTATTTAGGATAACAGCATTCCCTTGCGGAAGAGTGACAGTGAAAATATCTCCATACTTTTCAGCCAGTTTGCTAAACGGACTAACGGAGCCTGCACATACTATCTGAGGGATGTTTCCAACGAAAGGATATGGAAATGGTCCAGCGGGCATGTTCCTTCTTTTTGTGTAGGCTGTGATTACATACCAGATAAGCCAAACGAGAAACAACGAAAAAAAAATTTCTGTTATCATTTTCGCCTGCAACAAATAGAATGCATTCGTTTTACTTCAATTTGTTCTTTCCAAACTACGACTTGCACACGAACGTCGTTTTCAAAACCGTTTTTGTCTATTTTATTGTTTAGACGCCCTGTTTAGACGTCCAAGGAAAAATATGCCTAATATGTTAAATTAGCTTCAAGCTAGGTAACTACATGCAGTACGTAGTACTAGTATAATATCGTCGCCTTCAAAAACCCTTTTTAAAGTTAAAGCGATGGCATGTTATTGTCTTTTATACGGATTAAACAAAATAGACACCTACTTATATAAGCATTATAAATTTCTCTTCCCCATAGATGATTTGGGGGGCTTTGGATTCGGCTATGTTCTCTCACCATACCCGGGTGTAACAATTCCTATAATCTCCGAGCGGAATTAGTACCCTCGCTCGGCCCCGGCTTGCGGAAGTACAATGTTAGTATAAACATGCGTCAATAAACCAGGCAAGAGATGCCTGTCAGTTTGTGAGGAAAAACCTTTAATTTTTGCATTGTCTGAAATATTCAATATTCTCCTGGTTTGCTACCATATCATATGTGATAAAACCCGTGTCTGTGAATAAGCATATGTTGTTCTTTCAGTTATATTTATCGCTTGTATAGCTACTGGCCAGCCTAATTGTTTACGGATTTTAGAATAAATATGATTGCTAAATCGCATGCCAAACAGCGTTCCACGAAATTTAAAGAAATGGTAAATCAAACACATTACATCTAAAGCAAAGTAATGTATAGACTATTTAGTAAACAGCATATTAGTCGGACACTTAGGCGTGATTTTGTTTGGCATTACTTACATGGCTGTGACATGCATAAATCAAATTTTAACAAATATCTCAATTTTCCACGATATACAGTCTACTTCCTTTTTCGTAGCTTAGTATTGTAATGCCTGAAGGAAATCTAACGATGACCGACTGCATTAACCATCGTCGTTCAAAGATGACGTAAGCATGCAAATACCGACTATAACTAGACAATGTCTGCATGTCTGACCATGAATCTATTGCAAATCGCAGGATTCAAAGTCTTATGTTACAGTCGTGTACAACGTCTACATTTCATGCTGCAAATACGAGTCCAAACTGCTTGGGTTTCACCAGAATTCGTTGCAACAAAAACCCAATGTATTCAATTTCTTATATTGTGAATATTAATTGTGTATATTTTGCCGTATTCTTGTTGTCGTCCTATATGGCTATGTATACATTCAACTTTATCGCAGCTTCATAGTTCATACCGAAGATTATCTACGTATATGTTTTCCTCGAACCTCGAACTATGATTTACCGATCAGCACATAAAGCAGGAAAAACTGTCGAAGACACAAGATTCAATTAGCAATATATGTATACTTCGTAATGTGGTACGTTGCTTCGCTGAACGATAACAACAACTAATACTTTATAATTGCTTACCGCTCTGCAGGTGCTATAAAATGAATGACACTCCAAGAAACATGGCTAATATACCAGTATAATTGTATACCTCGTAAAATAATCGTCAATACGTAGCTTGCCTGAACATCGCAAGAACGTTTTCTAATTTCGAGAAATTACCGGAAACTGACCTTTAACTTTAAGAGTCACGCGATATGCATAATTAAATAATTTTGCACAAAACACTTTGGAAAGGCTATCTTTAAAACAGGGAACGGGGAATAGGGGAATGGAACGGGGAATGGAACGGGGAATGGAACGGGGAATGGAATGGCTTCGGGGAATGAGCCGGGGAATGAAATGGCTTCGGGGAATGTGCAGCTTGTGCGTCAGTGATTAAAACCTGTAAACGCTTCCATGTCACGAATCATGAGACAGCTACTCACAGTTTGAATTCCTTGAGGTAAAAGACAAAGCGATTACAAGCTCATAGTATAAATGCGATGTTTGCATTGTCATTGTGATGTACATTGATGTACATTAATATATAGATAGAATTTGCATGGGTAGGTGGTTCAATGTAAATCCTCCAAAATCTGAAGGCAATTAGTATAATACTGTAATAGTATTTTTTGCAGAAATCTTTTTAGTTCTTACTATGCCTTATAAAGCTCAATGTGTGTGATTAAAAGGTGAATAAAGATACTGACACAGTGTCACTTGTTTGTTTTTTATTTCAGGCTATGTGAACAAGACCTCTGGACAGTTTTGTTTAAGCAGGAATAATGGTTGTGGTGGAAATGTGGTGAATGCATTCTTGACAAGTTAATGGGTTTGCTTCCAAGAATACACTGAAACTTGGAGCAACAATGACTTTGAATATAATTATGTAATTAATATATTATTTATTAATCTTAATTTATATGGCTTTTTACCTCACATAATTCAAATAATGTTCAGATAAAGAGGTAAATATTTCACTGTTAATGGTGTAATAAATATTTTATATGTTGATTATATTCATAATGAATTATTTGTCCTGCTCCATACTTTGGCAATTCTGTTTAAGAAATCCCACCATAGTAGATCTTTTTTGAAATAGTTACAGTCAAGTTGTTGTCTAGTTTTAGTACAAAATAATACAAGTGCTACAATTAAACAAGGGAAAATAATAAAAATTAATTACATAAGCAAGCACATTTTCTATTTTGAAAAGGTCTATGAATTGAGATGACATGTACTAACAATTTTGTGCATTAATTAAAGACAATTGTATTATTACTGTGGGTTCTTTAATATTGTCCAATACTCCCAGTGACATCCCACTGAATTCCTGCAGGTGTCTCAATCCATCAAACCAGTTTATCTTTTATTTCTATATTTAAGTCAGAATCAATGTATTCAATATCAATATGTTATCTTTTTGGAGACCCCCAAGAAGAAATCCAGAAATTTTTCAACACCCCCCTTCTCATTTTGTACCATAATCATCCTGCCAAGGAAGGGGGTTGGCTTCAAGAACATGGTTCTCAATTCTGATGAAGAGAAAAAATTGCTTTTCTCCTTTAACAGACTTGTCAAAATAATGTTGTAGAACTTAGATATTATTTTTACATATTGATATTGAATACATTGATTCTGACTTAAATATAGAAATAAAAGATAAACTGGTTTGATGGATTGAGACACCTGCAGGAATTCAGTGGGATGTCACTGGGAGTATTGGACAATATTAAAGAACCCACAGTAATAATACAATTGTCTTTAATTAATGCACAAAATTGTTAGTACATGTCATCTCAATTCATAGACCTTTTCAAAATAGAAAATGTGCTTGCTTATGTAATTAATTTTTATTATTTTCCCTTGTTTAATTGTAGCACTTGTATTATTTTGTACTAAAACTAGACAACAACTTGACTGTAACTATTTCAAAAAAGATCTACTATGGTGGGATTTCTTAAACAGAATTGCCAAAGTATGGAGCAGGACAAATAATTCATTATGAATATAATCAACATATAAAATATTTATTACACCATTAACAGTGAAATATTTACCTCTTTATCTGAACATTATTTGAATTATGTGAGGTAAAAAGTCATATAAATTAAGATTAATAAATAATATATTAATTACATAATTATATTCAAAGTCATTGTTGCTCCAAGTTTCAGTGTATTCTTGGAAGCAAACCCATTAACTTGTCAAGAATGCATTCACCACATTTCCACCACAACCATTATTCCTGCTTAAACAAAACTGTCCAGAGGTCTTGTTCACATAGCCTGAAATAAAAAACAAACAAGTGACACTGTGTCAGTATCTTTATTCACCTTTTAATCACACACATTGAGCTTTATAAGGCATAGTAAGAACTAAAAAGATTTCTGCAAAAAATACTATTACAGTATTATACTAATTGCCTTCAGATTTTGGAGGATTTACATTGAACCACCTACCCATGCAAATTCTATCTATATATTAATGTACATCAATGTACATCACAATGACAATGCAAACATCGCATTTATACTATGAGCTTGTAATCGCTTTGTCTTTTACCTCAAGGAATTCAAACTGTGAGTAGCTGTCTCATGATTCGTGACATGGAAGCGTTTACAGGTTTTAATCACTGACGCACAAGCTGCACATTCCCCGAAGCCATTTCATTCCCCGGCTCATTCCCCGAAGCCATTCCATTCCCCGTTCCATTCCCCGTTCCATTCCCCGTTCCATTCCCCGTTCCATTCCCCGTTCCATTCCCCGTTCCATTCCCCGTTCCATTCCCCTATTCCCCGTTCCCTGTTTTAAAGATAGCCCTTTGGAAATCAACAAGTTCAATCGCGCAACCTTCCAAACAATTAAACATTTTAAAGAGCTTGAGACATGACACCAGTTTAAGTTGTTTCGCTGTCCCCAGAGCTTTTTCATTTAATTGGCAGATCATGTCAAAGTAATATTTTTCTCTTGTTGTCTAAATTATTTAAAACATACGTTCAGTGGGCTAAACCTGCAAAAAACTCAGTTATTGTTTCATATGAGGTTTCATATTAGGTTTAGCATGAGAAATATTTAAATTATTATTTCACTGACGTCTTTTAAAGCCCTAAATGGTTTAAATTTAGAATTACAAATTGCTACTATATGTTTTGCTGGAAGAGCATAGCTATATATGACGTAAATATTCTGTGGATTACATGTAGAAACCTTATCTACTTTATATAATTCGTGTTTATAAATATTCCACATAGATATCAATCAAAAATATTAATCAGTAAAAGAAGATAAGTGTTAATATCGCGTTGATCTTTCAAAACATTTGCCATCGTCATTCGTCATGCATGAGCATTTATATGCAAAAAAACTAAATCGATGTTTCGTACGCGAGGATGCGCTCCTCAAAAGCCAAAAAATCTTTTTCCATAAACTTCTCCCCATAAATCTCTCTTGTGCAGTCAAGTTTATCTGAGAAGTCTTTGTTATGCGTTTCCGGAAGTAACCAGATTAGCAAGCCGCTGACCAATGCAAAAATACATAATACTGCAAAAGGCACAGATGATGTAGTGTGTTTACCCTATATATGGAAAATAAGACATATATAGTTTACCCTATAGCTATATTGAAAATATTGTGTCTTTATTTGGAGCTGGTACACTGGTGCGTATAACTCGATATACTAGTTATAGGTCAGGAGAGCAGTGGCGTAGCCAGCCCGACAATTTAGTCATGCTATGCTAAGATTTTGATGTTGATTGACTCTGAAAACAACGAATTTCTTAAGAAATGAATAATAATAATAATAACCTAAAATTTGCATAGCATGACTACATCGTCAGGCTGGCTACGCCACTGCAGTAGTGGAAACATGTGCGGCATGTCAAACAACCCCCCCCCCCCATATCTACCTCTCCGATTATCGGGCTGCATGGATATGCCACAAGCTAATAACTAACGATTTGTATAGTTGTTATAGTCACATGCACCTCAACGATCATGATTTCTGCAGCTTTCCCATAATTAATTCGACGATATTCGAAGTTGCATGTTACAAACTACAGCAATCAACTTACAAGCAATATCATTTGTGGCGCAACCATTGCCCCCAATCGCGACGAGAAAGTATTCACCCCAAGACTAACGTTTCTAAAATAATCAAATATAAGTGTTTTTATACAGACAGCAAAGTCATTCTTTGTACCAAGTTTTAAAAAAAACAACCAAATTGTCGGTTGTATTTAATTACGAAGTAAAATTGATTAAAAAAGATTAATCCGAGACAACCAATTTTAAATCAGTTATTTTAACAATCTGTTTTTACAGAAAACCGATTTAGCCACCCTTGTCTCGAATTCGATGCGAGAAGTGGAGACTCTAAAAATGAAACTTTTATTGAAACAGAAATTAAAATTGCTCAAACAACTATTTTTGCCATGCCGTTTTGTGACGAGTGTTGTAACAATACAATACATGTTTGCTATTCGGTGATTTTTATATAGTTGTACGGGCACAATCGTCAGGTTCTCGCGCATTCTAACACACCTTACAATCGTAGGATAAACCTCCGATGTCAATATAACAAGCACCGCAAAAGTACAAAATGCTGAAATCTTGCCCATTATTACCAACACCGTTCTCAGGATCTGTAATGCTGCTGATAAAAAAGTAAAGAAAAACTAAGAAACATCAAGGAGTTTGTAATGCATGAGCACATAACGTGATCCTGCATGGCAGTGATGTATATAGCCATTCAACAATAGCACATGCTTGTTTGGTTCCATCACTTCCATGATATTTTGATATTTCAAATCATCTCAACCGGGCTCATTTGGCAAATGAATTAATGACAGCTTTTTCTGTTATGATTAAAAATTGTAGTAATCGAAGTATATTTTCGTGATACAATTGTGTAGGTGCATGACAACAATATTACCGCTGTTATATGAACTTAATGTAATGGTGGCATTCCCACCAACTGCAACAGAACAACACAGCATTAAAAAGAAAAGAGGTTTTCTCCGACCAAATCTAGCAAAGAAATCAAAATTAAAGCTGCAATAGTTCATTGAAGTTCACACTTTTAATTCCCGAGAGTCATGTCGACTCCAAAAATGGAGCAAAAAGGTATTAGATGCGTTTGTTAGGTACGAGCGTTAGATAGTTTTGGAGTCAGAAATGACTCCGTGAAATTAAGAGTACAAAATTTTCCTGCCGAAGTTGAGAAGCGAAGTGGTGTAGTGAGAATTTGCAATTAAATCGAATTAAAAAAATGTACAAAATCTTTTTATTGAGTTATATTATAAAAGAAATAGAAAACATTTCTTCATGTGTTTGTATACATGCAGTTATATAAACATTTGTGGGGGTTTTGGGAGAACTCGAAATGTTGATTGTTTCGTCTTCGTTCTCCCAAACACCCGTGCGTGTTTCTATGCACTGTATATATGTATCTTGTATATACCCATTCATATTTTATATGTTTCCAATATCTCTCCACTGGATATATATTTATTTACCTTGGTAAAAAATACACGAGAACCAGTATTGCAAACAAATCCGCGAGGTAGCTAATTGCGATATTCAAATATTTATCACCATGAAGAAAGGACATGTTTAAAGCCAGAAGGAAAAAGGTGCTATCACTTGTGAACCTTAAAAAATAGTGTCATGAAAATGGTAAAGGTGGATCGTAAATGTTTGCTTATAGGAGGATCATTTTATAACCAATAAACACTCTTGAATGCAACTTTAAACCACTCCTATTAATAATGAGCGGTGGGCTACATTCTTCCTCTGAATACTTCGTATGGGATTAAAAGGTAAAAATGAATTTTTAGCTTTGACTAATGAATGCGGAAATAACACTAAAACGTAACAGTAAAACGAGGCTACCAGGCAATGACCGAGAGCCTCGTTCTCGAGAAAGAGCTTTTTTCCACACTTATTTGTCAAAATGAAAAGTTCTTTTTCATGCATGTGTTGAAGAAGGATGTGTTGCATCTTTGCACGTGGCTCGTGAGAATATATCTTGAAATCGATCTCATTTAAGGTTGGTCAAAATTTGAAACGAAAATGTTGTGACGTAATTATCGAAACTGTCTATGTTGAGATTGCCGTAAATAATTTGCATATTTTTCAAATCTCTTTCAATTGCTTCACTATAAATTATATAGGGTCTTCTTAAGTTCCGGTTGATGTAAACTCTGCCATTTTAGTTCATTTCTACAAAGTAACGTTTTGTATGGTATTCAAAGTGATTGATGGCGGAGACTTTGGAAAAGCCGGAAGAATACTAATCTAAAATTATATTTTAGCGTTTTAGCACTTTGTATTGTACAGTTTACTATAAACTCACGAGTGAATGTGAATTTCAGGGAAAATAGATGTTAATTTTCTCAGAAGTTTTTGGCCATGTATTAGAAAATTATTGCTTATCGCCCTATCTCGTAGGTCCTGCCGCTCGTGCAAGAGATTTCAAGAAATAAAAGTTATAACCTATACAGGGTCCTGTGAACGATAGCTCACAACAAATATATACAGGAAGACCTTCAGCAGCATATCCTTGTAATTAAATATCTACGGTCTACTCTCCTTATGCATAGCATCACTCACTCACCAAATGAATGAAATGACTAGAGTAATCTTTAATAACGTCGGTGAACGTATCACATCCATTAGGTTTGCTTTTTTCTGGCGTTGCAGCATTACTACATCACAGCTTTTGCCAAAATCATTTTCTATTTTTTTGATCAGCTTGCTGGGATAAGGTAATTTATTGAATTTTGCAACCCTCCTGACAAATGATTCCGCCTTATCAAATTGGCCATGTATTAAATACCAACGAAGAGACTCTGGAATGAAACTAAAATAGATGTGAGACAAATCACAATGGTATAATTATGTTATATCAATTGAACTATCATTAAAACAATTATACTGAACGTCGGGCAGAACTGAATATATGAATATTCAGCCCCCCCTCCCAATTATCGTTCTAGTTACGGTGGTGATTATGAGTTTTTTTAAAACTTAAGCTATCAACAACTACTGATATAACCAGGTGATCTAAGTATAAAAATCAACCAATGAGAAGCCAGATCCTCGACAAAAATAAATTATCATTTCCTTCATTAAATATGACTTCAACACTGGGACATTATGCGGAAAAATGTCATTATGTTTGTTTTTAACCGATCTGTAAATTATAATCGCCCTTCATATTATTGCCTCGAAGAACGGAAACAAATAACTCCAGGCACCTCATGACGTCATGATCTCAGATCATTTGGAAATTATGGTAAAGAACAGAAGACTAACTCACCACATAGTAAGCAGTTGAACTAGGGTCAACATTGCAAGCGTCAGTTGAATATATTTCCAATCTCTGATGAGATACGAGAGAAGATCGAAAACAAGAACACTGAATGTCTCAAGAAACATTAATATAAGAACCGCATACACTCGAAACTTCGTAGGAAATAGTTCGACGACCAAAATGATACTAGAATTTGATAGACCCTATAAAGAAATCAAGTGTTCGTGGTCATATTCCAAACGTTTTCCACATATCATTATATATCTTAGAAAGCTAAAGATCTAAGAGACTAAAAGAAAAGAATCCGCGAAGATTCCGTTTGACAAACATATAAACACATTCTCTTTTCAAACAATTTTGTCATATATTTTATATGGGAAATGTAATATGATGTAATATGGTACAAGTCGGTTGTAATATGATAATCGAATGTAATATGATACAAGTCAGTGGTTCATTCTGTACACAGCTCGCTCAGGTTTGGCAATTACTATTTTTATAATATGAGATAGAGTCTTGTTTTGATGTTCAAATCACACAAATGGGTTATACAAATACCTTTGAATATCAATTATATCATTTATCGAAATTATTTGTATTCTGGTAATGATTAAGGCCATATACTGTACGTAGCTTTTTATTACGTGCAAATTGATTTAGGTAGAATTTGTTTTTTACTGATTTAAGAGTAATTATAAGTAGCTTTTACTGACAATACCTGCATAAGACACCCCAAAACAAATCTTAAGACAATGTAAACAACATAATTTCTGAACAAAAATACTCCTCCGCCCACCATAGAAGATGTCAACAGTAAAAACCCGATGACAGTACGGCGACCGAACCTATCACCAAAGTAGCCAAACATTGGCCCGCCAATTATCATTCCAAGAAAATATATTGACGTCGAGAGATCGGCTTTGTAAGCGTCATCGCACACCAGGCCGAACTACAAAAAGCGTATTTTAAATTTTAGTAAAATAATCGTATGATTAGATGGTAATGGGCCTGAATACAGTCAAGCGCTACTTGCTACTTGCTACCTGCATGCAGGCAAGACAAGGAGAGCGCGCAAAAGAGATGGTTCAAGTTGGAGACAAGAGTTTGCATGGGACCTGCATGAGAGGTTTTAAAACTTTTGAGACATGGTGTTCGTTACTGGCGATCAACCAATAAATTGCGGCGACCGGGCGTGGGTTAACCTTTGTGTAGGTAGGTAGGTAGGTAGGTAAAACTTTATTTAAAACCAAGAAACACGCTAGCCCCATTAACTCTAGGCTGGTTTCCATGAGGGGCGTGTTTAAATATTAAAAACAGTTAACAAAGACTACAAAACAGGACAATTACACACAGACAGTTTCACACATAAATAGATTATATGAATAGGTAGGATGCGTTTCAGTGTCCAACAACAATTGATTTAAACAAACGAAGCGACTCGGCTGATTTTGCTTCGTTTGGGGCCGATTCCAAAGCATAGCGCCGCTATATTTGAAACTTTTTTGAGGTACTCTCGATTCGGCCTAGGGAGACTTAGGTCTGTTGCAGTTTTTCGGAGGTGATAATTATAGTTTGATCTATTCCTCTTCTCACAAAAGACTCCCGAAGTGCCGGCGGTTATTAAGTATCTTGTACATCAATACTGATCATGACTTGGCACAAGACCGTCTAGTTTCAAGTGTGTCCCAAGAAAGATTGCTAAGAAGATCGATTGATGAAGTATCATAATTTGCATCTGTTAAGACCCTCGCTGCACGAAACTGAAATTTTTTGCAACTTGTCTCTAAGCAGCTTACCACAAGTATCCCACAGAGGGGAGCAGTAATCGAAGTAAGGCTGCACAAGACTTTTATAAACAGATTCCAGGGTATGTCTAGGAACAAAGGGTCTTATGCGTTTCATAACGCCAATTCCTGCACTCGCCTTTTTACATGTCATTTCAATGACTATCCCAGTTAAGATTTTCATCTAATTTAGTCCCCAAACACATTTGTGTGGTAGTTCGTGATATGGGTTTTGCATCAGCCATAACGGGTACATCACACATCAAATTATTAATGTTATATGGGGAACCAATAAACATCATTTTACATTTGGATGGATGCATCTGCAACCTGTTTTCTTTAAGCCAGCTACATACATGGGCAAGATCCGAGTTTAACTTTACAATAAGTTCATTTGCATCAAAAGAGGATGAAAAGATATGAGTATCATCCGCATACATAGCTAGAGTGGTTGATTTTAGACATTCAGGCAAATCATTAATATGTATATTAAGAATAGTAGTGGTCCCAGTATAGAACCCTGGGGAACTCCACAGGTAATAGTTTTATAATTAGATAGCTCTCCATTAACATTACATTGCTGTACTCGATTAGTTAAATATGACTCGAACCATTTTAGTTCAATGCCAAAAATTCCAAATTGTTCATTCATTTCACTTAGCAAGATGCGATGGTTTATAGAATCAAACGGCTTTTTGATATCTAAAAACACGACATGCACCATTTAACTTCCATTATCCATATTTTCTAGCCACTCATCGCACATTTGGATTAGGGCGGTCACCGTTGAGTGCTTAGGACGGAAGCCAGATTGAGACTTTGTTTATAGGGAACTTTCCGACAGGTAACTATATACCTAACGGAAAATTTGATTAAGATTCGTCGTTCGACGACTACGAGTTTTGGCTGATGGCGTATACAAACAACGTGCGAGAATGACGAATCTCCTACTCGTAGTCGCTGCTAAAACTCCCTACTCAGTTGATGTGGTGCGCTAAGACTAAGGGATCTTCTCCGTAGTGTTTTCCCCATCGCGGCGAGCAACAGGCATATGTTCGATTTTCAATGCTTTTGCTGGATTTGTTGTGTCCAAATATGCTTCCACTGTTGTATACCCCACGATGATTGGTTAATTGTTACCCAGGTTGTGTCATTTGCCTTACACATACCCAGGGAATGATGCTTATATCCGACCTTTGATCTTTCAGATGCAATGCGCGAGGTGAACTTTGAACTTACATGCTTGTGTATGCCGCTATATTTGCCGCTATATGTAGTATGAACGATTACCTCAGCATTGCCTCTTCAATTAAAATTTACATGCATGGTGCATGTAAATTTGCTAAAATATTTTTACATTTAAAAACAGACATTCCTACACTTTACACACTTGCTCCCCGTGACTTCAGCGAAGAGCATTATTTTTGGTACAATAGGCATAGGCTGATACTTTTTTATAAAATAGTTTGGAAAAAATTAAAAGAAATAATGTTTGGTCACACCGCTCTACAAGTTATTGTTTGGCACAGGATCAAAATTCATCGTGTGTCGTTGGATTATTTTCTGTGCCAATAGACTATAGTTTTTTCATACGGTCGACATGTCGTATTAGGTGTGACTGTGCCAACGATCATGTCACTATATATATAAGGCTATTTTATGTATATTTCATTTCATTTAATCCTTATTTGTTCATTAAAACATATCTTTCAATTTTGCGTAAATACCGGCCGAACAATGAAAAACCCTTTGGTGCTGGCCGTGCTGCGATAATTATAGTAGATATTTCGCTTCTATAAATGAGTTCTAAATGAGCTCTCGCGTTGCAACCAATATTTGACAAAATCGTTTATAGGAAACCTTGAAACAAAATTTGGTGTTATCCGAATGGCAAGGTTGTTCAAAAAACCTGTGCATGGGACTGCAAGGTACGTATCTATGAAATTAATAATGTAACACTGGTTTCGCTTTGGGCAATGTGTTAATTGCATGTCAGGTCCGCGTTGAGATAATCCCCTAAATTAAGTCTGAATTCTGATCTCTGCAAGGTTAAGTGTTTCGATTGTTGAAAAAATCAGCGCGTCGTTCAGATAAAGTTACCGTGCATATTTTAAACGCACTGGCACAATATTAGATAGATTTAATTTGAGGACGGGAACGTGAAAGACGACGTGAAATGGCGAATAAATGGCGTGGCACGTCCATAAATGGTCATATCACCCCATTTATTCGCCGTTTGCACTTCTTAACTATTTCGATAACAAATACGGCCCCCCGCAGCATAAAACCTACAGTTGCTCGGATCCCATCTAGCACATTAGAATAACATTATTTTAATGTAATAAAAACCCCGTTTACACTACACTCAATTTATCGGCACTGCATTGCTAAAATCGGTACCCGTGGTCAGTTTTATTAGAGTTCAGACCTCAGGCTATACCGATACTAAGGCTGAGTACGGATGAAATTGGCACAGTATCCACTTTATTTTAGCCGTGCCGTGCCAATAAATTGAATATAGTGTATGACGGGGTTAAGTAAATAAACATTGAACTGTTTAAAGCAGCAAATTACTCTAATGCAGAATTATCGTAATAGTTGACCTTCTATACTCAAATTGGCTTTTAAAGGAGACATTATATTATTTCTATAACATGCTATATTACCTTATTACTCGGGTTAAGGCCAAGGTAACATGCATGCCAGCACGTTTATAATTTCAGCGCGCATGTCTACAACTTTAAGTTATAATTACATACCTCAGAGATTATCGTGCTCTCTCCATCGTCAAAGTAATAGACCCAACCATTAGGACAGGGTATTGTTGTGCTCGAATTTGACGCTGTGTATATTATACATCCGTCCCACTGCCTCTCATTATCACGGGTCACCACTGGTATCAGACTTGTATTTTCGACTCTACAATGGTGGCGCGTCTTGGCGGTGTAAAACACTGGCGCTATCGTGTTGCAAACGTTAAGTAAATAATTTCCGCTGAGAAGGAAGAAGGTTATGACTTGGAAACGGCCGGGATTACCCAGCACCGTGAGCAAATTGTCGACCTGATGGCGTCCTTGTCGCAAATTGTCGACCTGAGTGCCGTCCATGTTTTTAAAGTGAATTAATTAAGTGCATGTAGGAGCGAATTTTAACACAAGTTTAAATATCAGTCCACTGGTGCGATTCAAAGCAGCATGACTCCATTTTTAAGATTCTTTTTTCGAAACAAATTATTAGGCTTGCTTTGCAATACTTACTGAGAAAATCGAATCTGTTTTACCTTTAAAAACACTAAAGCAGTGACTCTATAATTATTACAATTCAATTTTTATGAATGAAAAATGTCAATCATGCATCATGCACCCAGTACATTATAGTCGAAATGTATCAGGGGTTAAGGTTTATAATAATCGGCTAATGTTCTCCATATGTGCGTCATAATTTACGTTTTTTTATTCGCCTAATGTTTGATTTCAACCGCTTCACATTTGATACAATGAAGCTGGTAATTGCATGTATCAGCAACACGATATCAAAAAGTTTTACAGAAAAAGTGTGCACTCTAACCTATTCTATACTTAGTATGGCCAACCCGCCGTCATTATATAGTAGAGTCTAAAGACAATTTAGTCCGACTTTCTGCGTCGGTTCAATCTCATCGCATATGTCTTGGTTATGGATTTCGTAAGTTGCGGTTAGGAACTCAAAGGGTACTGGGTACGTGGCGGTTAGGGACTACATGCATGATGCATGGGTTTAAAAAGAGAATATGGGTAACATCACGATATAGTACATACCATGCATATATGTCAGTTATTAGATCAATTTCGAGTGCAGATATATGCGTGTTATATACGGGCTTTGTTTTAAGATACAGCGACGTAGGCTATCACCTCTAAATTAGAGGATGTATGAGTGACACATATATTCATGTTTATATACCGCATGAACAATCGCGTTCAAAAGAAATCATTCAGGCACAGGACGAATTATGTATGAATATATACCGCCGAAAATTGCCGGAGCTTCTGCCATAGCTACCGAAAGCTTAGGCTCCGTGAGAACTGTATTGTTTTATGATTGATGCAAAATAATAAAGAAATTCCCTTGCCTTCACGCCATGCATATATTCTGGCCTTTTTTGAGTGTTTTGTGTCTAACGTACGCATATACCATAAATGTATGAAACATTTTGAGGCGTCCGAAAAACACTCCAAAATCTATTGCGACAAAATCAGTTGTAAAAGTGCATGCGTCAGCCCCCAGTAATTGAGCCAATACGCTGCCCATCCAAAGCATCTGACGATATGCAGTTTTGCATTTAGGTGGTGCAAACTATAAAATGACACGCATGGCGGCATGAAGCCATGAACCATCTCTGGCTTTCGTATTTTGCTGAACGCGGCTCAAATTGTGCATGATTTTAAACACTTTATTGCATGATTGATGGAAAAGGGTGCATCACGCAATTCTTCAACTATACAATTCCAGTATATTGATTTACGAAAACGGCATGTGTATATATGCATGCGCTTCAAAGTGATAAATACTCCTTACTCGTTTTATTCATATAGTGCAACTACAACATATACGAATCCTTTAATTGAAGACAGTTAAAACTCTGTAATATGCATACTGCGTGATTAAACATTAATTTTGAATAGTCAAATATATAGATATGTATATAAAGCCATGCATGCACACTGTATTATACTACATGCAATATTACAATTTTTTATCCTTTTAAAAATTATTTTCGTTGATGAGAGGTTATTAATACTAGACAAATTAAAATGCACTTTTTAAAAGACAGCCGCTTCATAAGCAAAATTGCTTGCGACAATCATGCACCTGCCCCTATATATGTGCTGAGAAAACAGTTATTAAACGTTGAGCACGTCGGGGGTTAAAATCATACGTTGTGACATATTGAAAATAGTGAGAATTATAGCCAGCGCTTTCCGATGCACATGCACGATATATGATAGATAATGAGAAAGATTATCCCTTTTTAAACCTCCGACGTTATTTAACTTTTTAATCACCTATACATTTATTATTTAAACCAGTTATATACATTCTAATTTTGATAAAATTTCACTAAATGGAATGTTAGATCTATGTAACATATGATATGATATGTATACTATTGCTGCTTGTGCGTGCTGCATGGCTGAATTTCACAACTTTGCCTTTTGGGAAGAAAATTTCTGACAATATATAGCTATATATACACGCAATTAAGTACATGTAATTAAGAGTTGAGAAATGAGTTACATATTTTAAGACCTGCTCGCGACGTTATTTTGATAAATATAATTAAAATTATGATTAAAAAGTCAGTTTGATCTATTGAAGTATATATTTAGTTAAGTAAATATATTAAAACAAGACACATCAAGAAGAATCGTGTTAAAGTGCAGGTGTTAGAATTATGGCGACAATGAATAGCACAGGAAACAATTCTTTTACGTCTTTTTCGACGTACGGTTTTGCAGTATCAGTTGCAATTTTTCTTGCTGGCGCTGTAGGAAATGTTCTCCTAATAGTTGCACACATCGCGGATCCACTAAAGCTCATTAAATCCAAATCCTCTGTGCTAATATTTAATATTACCATTGGCGATTTACTTTTATCTGGTGCCGCACTATGTTTAATCGTGGTCTTTCAATGCCTTTCTGACGACAGGGAAAAAGTCCTTCTCGTTGCTGGCATTATAATTGTACTAATGGATGTTTTTTGTCTCGTATCGTTTACATCGCATTTAAGCCTGGCAATTGAACGATTCTGTTCGGTTGTATTTCCACTCTGGCATCGTGTCAATGTTACCACACAGAGATGTCGCTATGTGGTAGCTGGAATATGGACAGTCTTCCTATCCTTGAGGATTACCTTTGCGATTCCCGTGCGCTGGATGACAAAGATCAATGTTGAATTAAATATCGCAGTACCTTTATTTCTATGGCCATTGTTTCTTTTAACGCAATGTGTTTACGCTGCATCTTGCTTTTTAATGCGGAAACAAAGCAAGAGACTTCGAACAAGTAGCGACATGAACGAGACAGTTGTGAGAACAATAGCTCTTCGTCTGAAAAATGAGAGTAATTTTCTTGTTACAATTACCAACATTTGTTTTATTCAAGCGGCGTCTATTTTGCCTTTTTTAACGATGGCATTGGTGATGCAATACGAATGGAAGAACAGTTCGGAAAATCTTAAGGACAAAGCTAATTTTCCTTCACACTACATATGGGCTATTGCAGTAATCGGCGTAAATTCTAGCATAAATGTCTTAATATACATTTGGAGACTTCCGAAATACCGAAAAACATTCCAAAAACTCTACTGTGACTGTTGGAAATAGCGAATGTTATATGATATAGTTGTTATAATGTATAGGCCTATATGGAAGGACTGAAAAGGCACATATACATGCATGATGCACGAATAAAGGATGACATTTTCCGTTTTCCTGATTGCACCTGCTTGTTTATATTAAATAAAAGTATTTTAAAAATCACGATATCACGCTGACAAAACCCATAAGTCAAGACATATATATATAAGTCGAGTGTATATATATTATACATCTCGCTGGCATGCCTGCATGGAAATACCGAAAAATCTTCAAACTTTGGGTGTTAAAAAATAATTATAGGGACGTGAAATTTTACATGTTACATATATTATATTAGATTAGAACGGCTTCTGAAACAGTGATATATACAAAATATACTTAATTAAAAAAAAGTGATGTCTGTGCGACTTTGGAGCCAAAAGAAAAATATGAACGACTTTAAGTTTTAGAGTGTTGCATGGAAATATTAATGTTTGGTTGACCCTCTTTTGGCCTTGATGACGGCCTTACACTGGCGTGGCATACATTCTGTTAAGCTGGTAATCTTAGTTAAAGGAAATTCATCCCATGCATCTTGCATGCACATGCAGTCTTTACAGCAATAACCCATAAATCATCGACGCTTTGTGGATTAATTAGGCATATTTTGCAGGAATATTATCAGCCTGAAAGCTGCTGCATGTTAATGTCTTTATACACATGTGGAGTTTCCGATGAGATAACTATGTCCAAAAAACTGCACTGTTACCGCGCGTTGAAAAATACTTTTTTAATAGAGAGGCCGCTATAAGCACAGACGTACGGGCTTAAAAACTTTGGGGAAGGGAAGGCGGAGAATTTTGGAGAGTTTCCCGAGTCAAGAGAACAAATACCCAACTTACCACCAATTTAGGCAACAATTGTTCGAATTTGGTACAGTTCGATTGAAATAACCATTTTTTTTGTTGTTTTTGCCAAACAGAATTGATCAAAGAGAGATGAGTCCGAGGCAACCAATTTCAAATTAGTTGTTTTAACAGTGAGGAATAAAGCAGCTATATGCTATATTTTAATATGTCATTATTTATATTATGATTCAATTTTTAGCATGGCAGATCAAGCGCATGTTTGCATAAAAGTATGTCTCGAAAAGGACATACATTATATTACACAAGACCTCATGCAGAAACAAACCACATTTCCGGTTTTTCACCTCCTGTATTTTATTAATTAATAGTATATTTTCAAATGCGACGTCATCCTGGCGGAGCCTATATAAGTTAAAGACATACGTGTTTGGAATATTCTTTTCGCCGCGTAAAGGGATTGTATTTAATACGACTATGAACAGCACAGAAAACAACTTGATAAGGGATGCCCCGGTACATGCATTGGCACTGTTGGTCACAGTACATCTCGCTGGTATGGTTGGAAATACTCTCCTAATAATTGCACACTTTGCAGATCCTTTAAAACTTATTAGATCTAATTCTGCAGTATTCATTTTAAGTGTCACAATCGCTGATTTGCTGCTTTCGCTTAATATACTGATTTTATTCCTATGTTTGGAACCCTTTATCGAAGACAAAGATGAACTGGTTTTTGTTGAAGGCGTCCTCATGGAAGCAATGAACCCTTTCTTCATCGTATCACTTGCTTCGTATTTGGGGCTGGCAATTGAGCGATTCTGTTCTGTGGCTTTCCCAATGTGGCACCGTGTGAATGTTACCATTCGGATATGTCGCTGTTGGGTAGCAGGAATATGGGCTGTCGGTGTTATATTTGAAATCGGCCTCGTCATTCTCAAGCGCGTTATGGAGAACTCCCAAGTTGAATTTCATTTCGTTGTCATAATATTCATGTGGATGATGTTTTTCCTGACACAATTAGTCTATACAGGTTCTTGTTTATCTATTCGAAAACAAAACCGTGCGCTTCAAACACGCAGCGATATGAATGAGACAGCCGTAAGAACAATGAAACTCCGTCTCAAAAACGAGAATAACTTTTTACTTACAATTGCATTAGTTTGCTTCATCCTAGCGGCGACCATTTTACCGTTCCTGACGTTGGCACTTATTTTGGTCTACAAATGGACGAAAACTGATTCGGTAAATGTTAGTAAAGACGGCGGAGGCTCCCTTTTACCTTCTCATCATGTTTGGAGTGCTGTAGCAATCGGTACAAATTCTGTTTTAAATATCTTCATATACTTTTGGAGACTACCGAAATACCGAAAAACCTTTAAAATGCTTTACTGGATGTGACTGTTGGAAGAATGAATACATGACTTTGGGGACCATGGAATGAACACATTACTTTAAAACAGAAAATCCTTGTTAGCTGTATAATTTCAAGAATAATTAATTTCCTGTTTCAAATTACATGCATTGTTTGTAGAAGCTAGACTTTGAATCCCTAAAAAGTGAACGGAGTTTAAATTTTTAGAATTGTGCTTTATATATTCGTTATATTATCGCATCTGTATGTATATATAATAGCAATCTTTCATGCCTTATGTGCGTACATTAATTGCAGTAATATTGCCGCGGCGAGCCTCGCTTTTTTGACGGCAAATGTCAATTTTACCCGTTTATTAAACTTTTCTTATGTTTTAATTGCAAAAATTTCTAATATACAAATGATGCTTTCTAATATCTTATGTTTATGATTACTGCAGCATGCAGTGATATAGTGAAGGTATAGAAGTTGAGCAATTATGAATGTCACACAACACGATCTAATGAGCACATTTTCGGTGTATGGTTTTGCATCAACGGTCTTGATAAATCTTATAGGCCTTGTTGGAAATACCGCCCTGATTATTGCACACATCGTGGATCCCCTAAAACTTTTAAAGTGCAAATCATCGGCCTTTGTTTTCGGTATCGTCATCAGCGATTTGCTGCTAGCCAGCAGTGCACTGTGCTCACTTGTGCTGTTCCAACATTTTTACGACGACGGGATTACCATGGTCTATGCTGTTGGTATTCTATCCGTATTAGTTGACCTTTCCTTGTCCATATCGCTTGCTTTGCATTTATTCCTGGCGTTTGAACGATTTTTTTCGGTAGTTTCTCCGCTGTGGCATCGTGTCAATATTACAACTCGCGGCTGTCGTAAATTTGTTGTTGGAATATGGGTAGTTTGCGTTCTTGTGAAAGTTAGTGTTATTGTTTTTCTGAGCACACTACGTTTGAAATTAAATATTAAACTTCAGATTGACTCCGCTTATACAGTAGTTATTTGGTTGTTGTTTCTTGTGACACAGACTGCCTACATTGCGTCTTGTTTATCGATACGGAAACAAAGAAGGAAGCTTCAAGCACGTTGCGATTTGAATGAGACGACTGTGAGAACAATGAAAATTCGTCTCAAAAATGAAAGTGATTTTTTGGTTACCATTGCAATAGTTTGTTTTCTCCTAGCTGCGACAAATTTACCGTTACTGACGATGGCATCTCTGATTAATTTCGATTGGATAGTGCAACAATGCAAAAATTGCAACAATGTTGACGGTCGTTTACCTTCATTCTATATTTGGGGCATCGCTGGAATCTGCTTGAAATCTGCCATGAATGTCTTTTTATACGCTTGGAGGCTTCCGAAATACCGAAACACATTCAGAAAGCTGTACTGTCATTGTTAGAAATAAATAATATTTTTTAAAAAAAAGTAAAAGATTCATTGAAAGATTAAAAGAAGAACCATCTTGAAATTAGCGTGAAAAAGTACTTCATGCAATCTTAACAAAAAAGACATTCCCATGCAGGAGAAGAGAATTATGACCGAAAATTACTTTCGTCTACAGTTTTGATGTCTGGTCCTCCCCCGCATGTTTAGGGTTATCGAACGAATTATGCATGAATCGGTTTAATCAATGTCAAAGTGCTATTTGACGTTTTTTAATAAACTTTAGCATGCATGTCAAAAACTTTGATTAAGTTTTTGCTGTTTATTTGCTATGCTTAAATTATTGCAAAAACGTTTATAATACGGAATCTCCAGAGTTGATAAACGATGAATAACACCCAAAACGTTCAGATGAGCCCATTTTCAGTGTACGGCTTTGCATTAACAGTCGCGATAAATCTTCTTGGCATCGCTGGAAATACTCTCTTGATAATTTCACACGTCGTGGATCCTTTAAAACTTTTGAAGTCAATGTCATCGGTATTTGTTTTTTGGATCATCATCGCTGATTTGCTGCTCACCAGCAGTTCACTGTGTGCACTCGTATTGTTTCAATGTTTTTATGAAAATGGGGTCAAGGTGGTTTATGCTGTTTACGCTCTATCACAAGTAATAAACTTCTCATTTTCCGTGTCGCTTACTTTTTATTTATCCCTGGCGCTTGAAAGACTTTGTTCCGTGGCGTTTCCGCTTTGGCATCGTGCCAATATCACCACTCGAATCTGTCGTAAATTGGTTGTTGGAATATGGGTAGTTTGGGTTAGTCTTAAAGTCGGTTATGTTATTCTGCAGAGGTTACACTGGAATTCGAACATTAAAGTTCAGTGTTTGTTCGCTGAAATAATATTCATGTGGGTATTGTTTTTTCTAACGCAAAGTGCCAACATTTCGTCTTGTTTATCAATACGGCGACAAAGCAGGCAGCTTCAAGCACGTTGTGATTTGAATGAGGCAGACGTAAGAACAATGAAACTACGGCTCAAAAATGAAAATAACTTTTTGGTTACTATTGCAATTGTTTGTTTTACTCTAGCTTTGAGCAATATACCATTGATGACGATGGCATTTACACTTATTCATAGCGCATATTCAGAAAATGGCAGTAAAACCGATGTCACTTTTTTACCCTCATTCTATATTTGGGGTTTTTTCGGAATTGGCCTGAAATCTGCCATAAATATCTTTATGTACGTTTGGAGACTTCCAAAATACCGAAAAACATTCATGAAACTCTACTGTGACTGTTGAAAAAAAATAATTAAACCACTACTTAGAATTCGGTCCTTAAGATTTTTGACATTTGCACAAATGCGGTATAAATGCTGCAAGTTTGGAAAATAAATTTTATGTACAATAGTCATGTATTTTAATGCTTAGAATTGAATATACTGTAGTTTGTTGATACATAAATATATGACTGTAGTTTAAAATTAAAATTACGTTTTAAATCACCTACTTTTTTTAATCAATTTCTTTCATTTTAATTGAGGCACAAACTGCGATTTGAAATTAAAAACTCGGTGATATCAGGAGTACAGGGGGGGGGGGAGGGGCAAAGAGCAACCTGCCTTGATTCCGTGGCAGGCAAAAGCTGGGAAAATGCTGTATATTAAAAGCTATATGTCCTATTATTATTTTTATATTTTTCTTTCCAAAAAATCAAGAAGCATTATAATTTGCAATTTGGTTGGGTATTATACACTTAATGTATGCTCCCGAGGGAACTAGTGAGTTTTGTTTTCCCGAGAGTCTGAATGAAACATTGAGACTCGAGGGAAAACAAAACTCACTATTTCCCGAGGTAGTGTATACATTAAGTGTTTTGTTATATAGGAACGAAAACATACATGTTACACATCAATTTCATTTAAAAAAAAAAACCACTTTACTTTGTTATGACATGAAGCGGGCAACAATTTTTCACTTGTTTCCCTGGCGGGAAACATTGCATTTATTTAAAGTCACGTGACTACGACCAATCACATTTAAAATACATATAACAACATTAATTATTCATGATTTCACAATATTATATATTTCAACGAAAAACTACATACATCGCGTGCATTATGAGTTTACTTATTCCGAATATCGCTTGCACGTTTGCATTAAACTGAAAAAGAAAGTATTTCACACAGAGAAAATTATTACAAAACAGAGAAAACAAAGCAAAATTCTAGACAGTCTTAACATTATATGTACGCTTGATCCTTTCATGTGTTCGTGGGGGCGCTAAAATACATGAGATCTATATCTCCGGAAGAATTATTGGTGCTGCCGAAGCCAGCAAGCCATCCTACTCCCTGGCCCCTCTAGGTATACAGACACAGACAATATTAAAGCGAACTTCTTATTTTTTGTATTTGGCATTAAATCAGTCTGTATTTGGGCTTTGCCTAAAGGGTATGTCATCCATTATAATTTAGTAGAATTCCTCTCGTCCCATGTCTATAAATGAAAGAAACTCGCGAGAACACCACGCATAAGCTGCAGGCTCCACGCACGCGCGTTTTCTTAATCCCACGTCATAGTATAGGCAGAGAGCAGTCCTGTATTAATTTGCATAGAATGAATTAGTTTATACACCATTGATAAATTAACCAATGCTTGTTTTTGGCTTTAAGGAAACGATGGATGTATGCATATGCCCCTACAATTAAGTTCTTTTCAAAATATGTTGATAGAATTCATGAAAGGTTTCTTTGAAACAACACGGTCACATTACTTTTTCATTGTATACTAAATTATGATAAACATTAGTAGCTAATTATAAAGTTAACCTGGCCGGGCTAATTGTTTTCTGTAAGGGCGGATTTCCACTGTCGCAGTTTTTGCACGTACGTATATACGCACGTAAAAGCTAAAAAGTTCCTGTATAATTAAAAAATATCGTGCCTCTTAAAGGGTTAAGCCCACCGCACACGTGAGCTATTAGGGACCTTAAGCATGTAGGACGGGAACACGACAACGGCAGATATCAATACAATGCTTCATTGAAAAGAAATTAATCATTAAATACCTAAGGGAGTTTTAAACGTGATCTACGTTCTGTTTACAACGGAAAACGTCGTTTATTACGTCTGGATTTCATGCAGGACCCATGAAGTGAGCGCTACCTCGAATTAGGCTCTATAGAATTGTCCCTAAACGTAAACACGATGTTTTCAACGTCTTATATCTATTTAAATTGGTACAGTTGATATTTATACAACAACGTTTTACCATAACGTATATTTAAAGGAGTATTTCGACCACGTCGCAGTCGTGTTGCCGTCCTACATGCTTAAGGTCCCTATTAGCTGGGCTATACTGAAATACCTCGCGAGGCTGTTAACTCAGCACGTTTCTCTCGTGGTTGATGATACTGATGCCAAAATAGTGTATTTCTGTTGTTCATGCAATGCAAATAATAATAATATATTATTTATATTAATAAGTATTATGCGATTATTATATATTATAATAGCATATTATTATTAATTTTGTATTGCATGATCAACAGTACAACACTGGCGTCATATCATGAAGATATTATGCTGATAATTTGAAAATTAATGCAAAAAAATTCGAGGAAGGGCAGTTAACGCATCATGTTTCATGATCATTAAGAGGCAAGATATCTTTGTATTCTATTTAGCCGTAACCACAAACTATAGCTTTCAGGATGAGGCGCCATGCATAACCTAGGAGTTCTATATATTCACAAGCACGTCCATATTTACATTTTAATATTCGTATAGTTAATACTTGAGAAAATATATATCTTCTCACTTCAGATCAAACATTGCATGCATCGCACTTCACATGCACCGAGCACATGCAATATATATTTTTAATGAGCTCAGTGCGTTTGACCTAGGCCTTGCTGTCATATATGATATATGCATAGCTGCACGCAACCTGAAATATTTCAAATTTCGCTCTAGATCTGACACCGCCTGAATTATCGTCTATTACATATTACAAGACAGCAGAATTTGCGAATAATATCATTAATATAGCCCTGAATTCGGGATAAATACATGTCAAGAATCACTCAAGGTAAAACACTCTAAGGGTTCCACGCCATCCTGGCAAGTGGTGTTAATACAATAGTCAAATCAATATGATTCCTTCTCTATTAATATCCAAATGATGCGTGGAAAATAGTAAAAAATTGCATTCAATTATGGCAATATATTTGCCCAAAATTGTTCAGTCTGGGATGAGTGTTTAAAAGAAAAGCTTGCTTTCAGGGATGCAAATTAAATTGCATACAAGTGGCAATATTCGCCATCTAGCTTAGTTTAGAGCTGAAGGGAAAAACAATAGACGTTAATTTGCATGCGAAGAAGATAGAATAAACAATTTGCAAATCGGTAGTGTAGTTGGCCTGGAGCAGTTGTACAAAACTCTTGACTACGTCCAAACTATAACCGTTTTGTAATTGAATTTTGATTAACTTACAAATTTTTAACTAGTCCTTTTAGATTATTTCAACTGATGAATTCACTTCAGCACTTCATGCTGTCAAAAATAAGTGTGAAAAATGCGTAGCTTTTATATTGTAATGTCACAGAAAAATGCACAAAATTCTTCCTTTAGTATTTCTTTCTGTAATGTGAAACACAACCACAGAATGTACCATGAGGTTTATAGGGCAACAAATGTTCCTTTTTTGCCGTCACTTTAAAATATTTAGCTATTTGCTGGACGTTTATCAATCGAATTTTTGCGTTTTCTGATTTAGATATTTTGGGAAAATCGATTGTAAATTTTCGTTTTACATATTTAATTGTTTGAAGTTTTTATCAAAAAATAATTTTACCTCGTCGTCCTTTTATTTTAACAAGGTTGCTATTACTACTTCGAGGGAAAGGGACAAAGTTACATTCTTAGGTTTGAATATGCCCGTCAAGGGTAAGTATGGTAAACACGAAGAACATTTTTGTAATATGATTCTAACAAGCATCACCAAATATGTTTGGCTTGTCGACTATTTTTTGTGACATGCAGCTGCTGGACAGTACTATAACTGTATATCGTGCATGCTTACTTTAACTACTGCATCCTGCACGGTATTTTGCCAGTGCATCAAGTAGGCGGCCCAAAAACTATAGAGAATATGTATATAGGGAACCAGAGAAAAACAAGCTATACTGAACTTTATATACAGCATTCAATACCAAGTTGTATAAGAATTTTTTTAAAGTTGGAATTCAATTCCAATTTTATATAAGGAATAAAATTAAAGAACTACTATTGTCTAGAAGTTAGCATGTAAATTTTTAATGTTTGAAGTGGTTGAGATTTGAGAAGTTTATATCGTATATGAGCTGTGAAAATGTAAACATTAAATTAAAATACTTATTTTCCTTCTGCAGAAACCAGAATTGGAAAAAACCTTCAGCCGCGTGTAAAACAGACTAGCTTTATAGGAAATGCTAAATTTTCAGGTTCTTGTGTTTACCCTTCGATATTGCTCAAGTTGTGTTCCACCAAACACGTGCCAAACTGCAGAAATAGACAGGTGCCCTCTCGACACATACATTATCACGAGCACGTTCAAATATACAATTCGAGTCCGCAAAATAGCTATTAAATTATATATATAATCCTCCTGAAATAAATTTGCGAGGTTTGAGTTTGCATAATTTAAATTTGGATAACTTTTTCGTATTCTTTGAAGCGTTTCATAAACAGCGCATTTAAGAGTCCATGTCTTTACATGCTAATCATGCACATTGCAGCAATCAATATACTTTCTAAAGTACTTCATTCTTATTTACCGTTGTTTTTCTCACTATTGTAAAATGGCTGCATGCTAGATATTGGTCAGGTATAAAAAAATCCATGATGCTGGTTTGCTTTGGGTTGTACGACACCCGTTTACTCTGGATAGCTAAGTGAATAGGCTCAAAAATGAATATAACAATGCAGTTTACTACTACATATATAGCAAATTTGACAATTTTGTTTGCTCTTTGAGTCAAGTGTGACGCCCAAATATCAATTAAGGAACGCTGAAACAGTGTAAAAACATTATTTCGTCTTTCAACTGTATATTTCAGATAAAATCTTTGGTATATACATGCAGGATTGTTTAATTCTGTACCATGCACGACATATCACACTACAAAATTTCTGTTTAACTTAGCTATACTCTACTTACGTTAGGTGCGTTTTTAGTCAATGATATACGTATACTCAAAGCTGTTTTTCCATTTGAATAATTATACACTTGTACTATGTTTTAGGCTCTAGCAATATGTTTTAAAAAGCAGCTATTTTGCTATTTCGTATATATATATATATATATATATATATATATATATATATATATATATTGTATATATTGTAGCTATATATATATATATATTGTATTACAATTAAACTCCGCTTACAGTGTTTTAATCTTTTTTAATTTGGCGCTCTATACAAATAATAAAAATTTAGATGACAAAGCAGGCCAATATTCACTCGATTCTTAGTCAAGGGCATGCAAATGAAACGCCATGAAACACAAGGACGCCGGAATAAAAGCAGGCGTTTTTAGGCAACTCTGCACATATTGTTTCCAAAGCTCCATTATCGAAGGTGTTCAGAGTCATCGTGAAGGTAAGCCATGCATGTAAGCCATGCACGGTCTCAATTTTTAATTAAATTCTTTAGAAACGCGCACGATTGAAAAGAATTGCCTTCCAAGTCAATTTCATAAAAAGATTAAATCCAAAGTTTAATAATTTATTGCTAATCTCTAGGCTATATACTATCGACCGTCGGCCAGCTGAATTTTGTGTTAATCTGTAAATACCAAATTTATATCAAATCTATAACTTATCTATATGATTTTCAATTTATACATACTTTTTTAGGGAAAGATGAAGATTGTCTTACTCGCTCTTGTTTGTATCCATGTCATTTTTGCGTCCGAGCGCCGTGCACTTTGTTCCCCAAAGAACATTAAAATATGCTCATATGGTAAGGAACATATCATATAATTTATGGTATTTTTCAATGACAGAACCTGCCTTTTACTATTCATTCAAACCTATTTCTATTGAAAAAAAACTATATATTATACCGAAAGAATAAGTTCGGCATAGAAACAGACATGCAGTTTAAAAACTGGCCTCGCAGGACTGTTTAATTAACCGTGGCCTATACCACACCCACAGAAATATTTCCCACATTCAGCCCTAGCTTTGTTCATCTGATTTATGATCGTCTTATTCACTAAAAAGGGTGTCCTTTATCAGTTACTGATGTGAATGAATACATAAATTAGTATTTATTATATGGCAAGCATTACTTCTGATGAAATTAATGGAGCTCAGTGATTGGCTGAGAATAATTTTCAGCGGCCCATTTTTATATATATATATATATATATATATATATATATATATATATATATATATATATATATATATATATATATATATATATATATATATATATATATATATAGGGCAATCACCTGGCAAAAAGCCATTTATAAGTTAATCACAAAAACATATTGTAATGTAATGTAATGTAAAAACTTTATTTAAAGAAGGTAACATTTGACAGTATAAGTTACTGATAACTCCCTGGCCTTCTATGTATCTAAATATAAGATTTAAAACATGCGTACAAGATATATGTCAATAAAATTTAAACTAACGTTCTATGTTATTGGCGGCTTTCTGTTCGTTTAAAAACTGGCTATATAAGTCTTTCTTAAAACTAGACATTGACAGTTTCTTTCTTATATTGAGATCAATTTTGTTCCAATCTATTATAGTTCTCACAGCAAAGGTCTTGCCCCCTTCAGTTTTTCGCTTGAATGTAGGACAGAGCAGATTAAAATTTGAGTACTGGGTATTTCTACTATGGATGTCCGAATTTTTCACTAAGAACGAATCTAGATAATCTGGAGTACAATTGTTCTTTTGATCATTGATTCTTTTTTTAAAAGGTAGCCAGTTCAAAGTATTAAAAAGGTAAATAGATGGCGTGGTTTTCTCAGCACCTAAAATAATTCTGGCGGTTCTTTTCTGAAGTTTAAGCACTTTATAAAAGGATTCAGCGCTACAACAATCCCAAACGACACTTCCATACATTAATGTAGGCTTGATGACAGCATTATAATATAATTCCCTTTGCCGCTTTTTGAGATACGGGCTGACATGCTTGAGTAGGCCCAGTCGTTTAGACAGTTGCTTACATAAGTGATCGATGTGGGCTTCATAAGTCAAACTTTTATCAAGGGTTACTCCCAACAGCTTTTGGCAGGAAACTTGGCCTATATGAGTATTCCCCAATTTGACAGCTAAAGCTAGATTTCCATTTTCCAATATCTTCTTCTCTAAACGCTTGCCTGTTATCAATAATGACTTCGTTTTATCAGTATTTATGATCATCCTATTTTCAGTCGACCATTCACTAATTCTATCCAGATCGCTATCGATATCTTGGACCACAGATGGAATATTAGTCCAGTGCGCGTTCGCTGACAGTGTTGTGTCGTCTGCAAAGATATCGATCGATGTGCGAGTTAAGTGTAGCGGTAGGTCATTAACAAATAACAGAAACAGTATAGCCCCAAAACCGATCCCTGTGGTACACCTTGTTTGATGGGCAGACAATCCGACTGTTGTCCATCGATGATAACAAACTGAGATCTGTCAGTAACATACGACGTAAACCAGGATAAGGCCGAATGACTAAGTCTATAAAGCTCAAGCTTAGTCAATAAAAGTTGATGATCCACAACATCGAAAGCTTTTTTGAAATCGACGAAGACCATTGCGGTAACCTCGTCATTATCCATATTAAAAAGGATTTGGTCTGTTAATTTGATCAACGCAGATTCGGTGGAGTATCCTTTACGGAAGGCAGATTGTAGTTTATATAGTAATCCATTTTTTACAAGATAACTCATAAATGACCTAGCAACGTGTTTTTCGAGTAACTTATAGACAGGACAGATAACACCGATATGGGCCTATAATTATTTCTGAGGTCACGGGAGCCAGTCTTATATAGAGGAGTCACTCTTGCTATTTTCCATTTACTGGGAAAAACTCCATCGGCAATGGACAGATTCAGAAGTTTAGTCAATGGATGACAGAAGACTGGAGCGACTAATTTCAGTATTTTCACACTGATAGAATCTGGCCCAGTAGCTTTCGAGCTTGATAAATTATTAATTAAATCAGTAACTTCTTGAACTGTTATGAAAGGTATATTGTATTGCGTGATAAAATTATCAATCCTTGAAGTGACAAAATCCTCAAGTCTCTTTCCATTAAACGAGCCGGTCGAAAATGAGTCGTCCCCTATTTGTTCAATAATATTCACGAAGTAATCATTTAACATTTCAGCCATTTTCAGCGGGTCTGTTTCGAAAGTGCTGTCATCACATTTTAATTCGGTAATCTTATTTGACTTTTGCGTTTTTGTCAATGATTTCAACGCTTTCCATATTGCTTTTGGGTGTCCTTTATTGTTTTCAATAGTCTCCTGAAAATAAACACGCTTTGACTTCTTTATCAACTTCGTTACGAAACATTTCGTGCGTTTATAAGTTTCCCAGTCACCTGGTGTATTCGATTTCCGTGCTTTTTTTAATTCGTGGTCACGCTTTTTTATCGCGTTTACTATGTCGTCAGTCTGTTAATATTTATATCGCCAACCAAAATCGTTTCTAAATTCCGCAAATATGCTGTCTCAACGACAACGTTTTGTTCAATCTCGGAGTCTAAGTCAACATTTGTAGAGGGTGGACGATATATAGACCCTACTAACATTGCTCTATTTGATTTGTGAGGGTAAACAGTCAACCAAAGCAATTCGACCGACTCTTCTTCAAGTTCTTGATTTCTGCTTACTTTAACTCGATCAGCAACATAAGCCAACAAACCACCGCCGTTCTTTTGACCGGCTCTGTCTTTCCTGAACAGAGTGTAGCCGGGAATGTTTAACACAGAGTTTGGCTTGGAAGGCTTTAGAAACGTTTCGATTAGAAATAAAATATCAATATTTTGACATGTATTCAATAATAAACTTATCTGTTCGAGCTTTACGTCGGTTAGTCGATTTACGTTCCATTGACCAATCTTTAACCCTTTATCAGGTAGCTCAATTTTTCGTAAATCAATATCAAAACTGCCAGATCCATCGCCCGGGTTCAATTTAATTCATCGCCCGGGTTCAATATTAACGTTTCGACTTTATTATCTTTCTCAAGAAAGAGAAAGATAATTCTCTCTTGAGAAAGATAATAAAGTCGAAACGTTAATATGTTTTTGTGAATAGTATGTTTTTGTGTATATATAGTATATATATATAGTCACTCTTGAAAAAATACACAATTTCTTCATTCCAGGTGATTTTTCAACGTGTTACTGGGACTGTGTAAGATGTTCTGAAAACTATTCTCAATGTCCAGGGGACTCTCACTCCATCGAATGCTATAAGGTCTGCAAATATGCGAAGGGGAGATTCGTGAGAATCTGGCATCATGGAAGGGAAATCATCAATTGATAACGCATTATGAATATTGAATATATGCAGCGATTCAATATAGACTCAACTTATACCAAATGAAATTATAACTGCAAACCTGTAAAAAACAATAATAAATAAAATAATATAATATAAAAAAGTGTGATTTGTTGAAAAATTCCTACTTCCTGGTGTATTGAGGACAGCGCTAGCTATACGTACCTGCATGCCCGATCCATTGGAATTGTCTGTCATAAATTTATAAAAATCTATTCTTTGCTGACACTTCATGGGAGATGGTCACTTCAGGTGTACGAGGCGGGACGCGGTGATTAGGCAGTTTCAGGTTATAAATCGGGCAATTTGTACACGCTATAGGGCTGCATGGGCCCTTTTTGCTGAGATAGCTTGCTCAATAGAAAAATGTCAGCGAGGTTGAACAAGAATGGCGCATGCATGTGTGTATGTCCATTGACTTACATATAATTCGGCCGGTTGTATCAAAGGCGTTTTTATCCCAGTGGCGATTTCAGGGTTATAATAGGCAGAATAAGTTACTACAGCTCAAAATCGTAATCGTAGTAAGAGTAGTGAAATTCAGCTCTGCTGATGGCTTAATTCGCGTGTGCTACAGACTCGCGTGTGCTACAGACATGATTTAAGGTTCTGAATTGTGCCTGTGCTTCGGGCTTTAAAAAACTCGGGCAGATTATTTCTATAGCCTACGCCTTGCCTACGCCTTACTCCGACGTGTTTGAAGAACGCATCCCATCCATGCGTGCACAGTCTCAGTTTCTCATTTATGTGTGATTGAGGTCAATGGTTCGGATCAGGCGAAGACTGTTCTTCATTATGGTGTGAAAGAAAAGATTTAAATAAAATAAGAAAACATAGTCTGCAATCTCAAAAGCTGTTATTTAAGCGGTGAAGAAAATGGTCTTGCCGATGTGAAGTCGATGGTTCGAATCAGGCGAAGACCGTTTTTCATTGTGGTCTCAAAGAATCTTTAGAGCTGTTAGAATAATGGTGAGGAAAATGGTCTTGCAACTCGCAAGTCGATGTTCAAGACCCTGGGTACGAGGTGGGGCGATGGTTCGAGTAAGGCAAAGATAAAACTGCTGCGTATAATGTCAAAAGCACCACGTATAGTCCCTGAGCCGGTGCGAAGCACCGGGCGAGGGTACTAACTCCGCCCGGAGATATTAATTACGCCCGGGAATGCAAATGCGAAATGCAAAGCAGTGAACTGAAATAAGACTGGAACGCTCACTCTGTCGGAAGTTTGAAGCCAAGATGGCGGACACTGAAGCCTTTCTTGTAGGTATGATTAAATGGTATGGTTAAATTAGAAATTGAGAAGATGGAAAACTGTGTTTCTGACGTGCGTAACTGGATGATTGAAAGTAAACTCAAAATGAACGATGATAAGACAGAATGTATGTTAATCGGAACTCGACCACAAGTATCAAAAGTAGACTTTAGTCATATTTCTGTCGGTGAGAAGCAAGTAGCTCCTTCCTCTAACCTCAAAAATTTAAGAGTTGTAATCGATATATCGATTAAGTTGGTATACCAACTTCACCTTCTCACAACAAATTAACAAAGTATGCAAAACATCCGGAAATATCTAACCAAGAGATAGAATAGAATAACCAATAAAAAGATCCGGAAATATCTAACCAAGGACACCCCAGTCCTCCTACACGCATGGCCAACCAAACATTTTTTTGATTGTTTTGACCGGGAGTGATGGCTTGCAAACCTCGGACTTTTGTGGGGGTTTTTTCATTTTAAAAGAACAAGAAAGGGAAAAAGTTCATTTTTTATAGCAATCTGTTTCTCTGCATCTACCTTATCTGACTACTGTATTTTCACACTACAGTGCGAGTAAGTAGCCTACGAATTTTTTGCTGTAAGGACAAGTACGCTTCAAACTTTTGCTTTGCCTTTCGAGTAAATTTGGTTTTTTACCTTGTAATTTTGACACAGTTTTAAGACATTGATAGTCCTTTATTTTTGCCAATCGTCCTAGCATGGGGCAGTTTTTAAAGATTTTCTTCCTGCATGAAATGGCGTATAAAAATGCCATCTTTTTGTATTTCGAAACTCGTAAGTTTCGAATAATTTCTCTGCAAGTTATTGTTTTTTATGGAAGACAGCTTAATACACATCTTTTCACTTAAAACTGAGATAAGGTAACATTATATTTGTATTTTTGAGTGTATTCTGCTTTTTGCGAAAACTTCAGCAACCCACACTCACTTCTTTTGAGATATTACTCCTTTCTTAGCAAATTTAAGTGAAAATATCCAAACACAGAGCATCAGCATTTAACTTTAATTAAAAATTCTACCATTTCCCACTCAAAAATATCAGAAAATAGCCAAAATAAACATGAATTCAGTTTGACCGTGCACGCAGGAAGACTGGGGTGTCCTCCAATAGCTCCTTCAATTTCTGCTATCTTTGGCTTTACTTAAGTTAGCCAAATGAGCGAAGTTACTACTGCATATATGTATATATAGAGCTCACTGAATCAAAGTTGTCTGCCATTTTTAACATTTTTATGCACCGCTACAATCAGGACGCTCAACAAAAGATAAATTTCCAGTTAATTTAGCAGCATGTCATGGAGCGTTTTTGTAAGTTATGCGCATGCATGAATTTAAGATGAGTTACAACTGGTAACTATAGCAAACGTTTGCAAACGTGCGATTGGCTAAATTAAAATTTCGGTTCGCGTGAGCATAACTGATCTCTTGAAAATATACGAAAAATTGACTCTCAAAATTGATCATAGACAATCTAGAAGACATCTTCTGTCTTCTGGATCGTCTATGAATTTATTAAAAGATAATGTAAAAGACGCTTTCCGACAGAAAAACTTTTATTCAAATGGATGGTAAAAAAATCTACGATTTTGAAGCATTTTTGGAGTGTTTTTGAACAATAGTTAATGGGTAGATTTTGCATTTTAAAGCAGGCAAATATTTTGTAAGTTGTGGGTTTATCAACAAAAACAAATGTATGACACCTCTTTAAATTTATTCGTCAATTTCGTTAAAATGATTTTGATATGGAACAATTTATTTTTACTAGGTCAATCTGTTTAAAAAGGAATTGAAATTTCGCTAAAAATTGTAGTATTTAAAACTATTCCTAGCACAATTATGATCATCAATTGATAACTTGATTTTCCTGTACGGTCCGGATTTTTTCTGCAGTTGCACATTAGAAATATTATTAGTCTCAGTCATCATCAGTCAAGGCAGTTCAACCATACAAAGCGTATTATTATACAAATTTGAACACAGTCAGTTGGGCAGCGCGTAGAAACACCCAGGGTAAGTAACTCGATCAAAGGCGTTGTAAAACGACCGTTCTATTCCAGAGGTCGGAAAACAGTGGGCAACATGCAGGGTGACGGCAATTTTAGGTGTTGTACTTTTGCTATATGTATTTTATAATAAAAGTTAAAGGCCATTATTGTTCAAAGTCATATGCAAATTAGTTTATATGCAAATCACCATGTCACAAATTTCTTGTAATGCAAAGCAGTGCAAAGGTTGAACGTACTTTCTGAGAAGTTAACGACAATAAAATTAGATTGCGGAATGCTCTGGCTGTTTTTACTTTGGAGGCCGTTATCAATTCGAGCGAAGCATATCACAACAATTTTAGGTCAACGCGAAATTCACTGATTAACCTGCACTCTAAAGCAAGGAAAAACTTTAGGGAACGATATTCTGAGAAACACCCAAATTTCATTTTTCGGGGTGTTAAATTTTGGTGCTATTTTGACACCACTTTTAGAGTTATATTAACTCCTCGGTGGAGTAACGAGGTCTTCGAACGTTGATTAGTATGCCAAAATAATCCCATCTAGAGGGGTTAGAGAAAGTAACTCCATTTTTGGAGTGAAATTCCTCTCATTATATATTCATAATGGAGATTTGAAAACAAGGAGTGAAGATTGGTGATGCACATCGCGTTAATGATAATTTTTATTGAAATTGAACAAAATCTTGTATTGAAATCATTTACTACATCAGAATACGTGATGAAAAGATTGCCTCGGATAGTTCTGGTAAGTTTATAACGATAAATGTCATAGAATCAACCGTTAAATAGCGAAATACATGGTCGATCGGCTTTGATTAAAGCATTGACAACCGATCGTTATACATCGTATAGCGCATTATTATATAAGGTATTCAGCGCATTAAAAATATCATAACTTACGGTCTTGTAGTTCTAGCCTGGAAGGCCTTAATTGAAGTTTTTTCGAAATCAAATTTTCAAACAAACTATATAAAAGAGCTCATTTGATATATTTATGGAAATGCGAATTCCCCAGGTTTATATTTTTGGTACTTTAAAACATGATTTATTCATGAATTATTCAATAAAACTATTTTTAACCTCTTTATGTGCAAGAAATCCAGGCATGCTTGTTTATTTCAGTTTATAATAAATCAAATAATAAAAATTTTCCTGTTTTTTGTTACTGAATTATTTTGCAATGAATCTTCTTTATTTTTATATTCAGGATCACCTTAAAATAACCAGGTAATATGGGACATTGTAATATCCATTTCTGGTTCTTTTTAATAATTGTCTGAAAGGTTGTCAATATTTGAGTGTAATGCTCAAATGCACATTAGCTATTTACACAACCAAGAAGTGCTATAAACATTTGATTGGTGCATTTTTGGATAACATATATATGTGAGAGTTAAGTGGCATTTAAAAGCTTGGTGATTTGCAGTCTTCCATATCAAATGTGGTCTTTTATGCTACAAAATTTTAAGTAATACATCTCTCAAAACTGACCCTTAAACATGTTATATATGATTATGAAGCTATATATATTCATAAGGCTATAAATACAATTTTTTAAAAAAACTATTTTGTGTTAATATTATCTGTCAAAGAACCATGCATTGAACAGTGCAGATCATGTGAATCAAGCATTAAACTGTGCAGATAATTTAGAGCTATAATTATACACAATATGTATTGCAAGGCAGGTTTTAATCAGAAATCAATTTTAAAAAATTTGACCTTTTGAATTAACATTCTTGAGGGCTCATGAAAGTTAAATTTTCATGTATGAAAAGTAATTAATTTATATGTCTTTTCCATTGTCCCACTTGGAGACCTCAATAACATTTATACAAAATCACCAACAACATCAAATCATAGATTAATTAAACTGAAGAAATAAGTGTTTGTTAGGTACCACAGAATATGTTCAAAAATTAATAAAGCAAAAAACATTACTGATAGTGTCCTAACATTAACTTTCATTTTAAATTTTGACAGTTGATTTTAAAATCAAGACAAACTGAGTCAACTAATCAAGAAAAAGAAAACCTCATGATGTGGGTTGAATTGCCAGGGACACCCTATGCTAAGACTTCAGGTCTTTATACAGCTCAGTGGCCGGGTCTTTCTTGGCGAAATATTTGCAAAGTACACACGAAGCCCTCGCTTGCTCCGTAAAAAGTTCTCTTTCTCGGTACTTTTCATTCAAAAATTGTAAACTTAGTAGAGGACTTGCGATTTTGGATGCGAAAAGCTGGATTTGGCGACTAGTGCGAGCTATTTTAAGGTAAATATTTGAAGTTTTTCTTGCATTTAGTCTTCCCGCCTTTTTATTGTGTTAACTTGGCCTGCAAAAACAGACAAATTTATTGCAAGATTCTTATAGTTTGATTCTAAAATGTTTTTCAAATAGTTGTTTCTATAATTTTTGATGCTGGTCGATTTATTTTTTCTGTGGGGCTGTTGCCAAAAGAGTTTTTCAGTCGCAAAACTGACGGCGAAGTATTTTTTTGTTTCTGATGAGCATGAATACATGATATCGCGAGCCTCCGATATTTACCTTAAAGTTCCTGGGATATTTTAATAGTCTATAACAATTCGAATTCGTATCTTTAGAAGCAGTAGAAGGACAGAAGTCCACAATGCCCGGTAGAGGGTAGAAAAAGCAATGCCAATGGGAAACTCAAACACAAATTTCAATACAAGAAAGCCCTAACCAGGCCCTAACCTAGCGAAACGATGTTGAAAACAACCCCAAAATAACTGTTCAATTCTCAATGGACGAAGCAACTTACCATGATGCAGTAAATCTAGGTATGTGGAATTTTTTTCCTATTCTTTTTATATTAGCTAAGCCTAAGTTACTTGAAATTATTCCTTCCTTATACTCACATGTTTCTGCTCATTTGTTTGAGTATGTTTGCATTGTGGATCACATAGAACATATAGATTTTGAAGGTCTGTTGAACAATGTGCTCTGTTATATGCATACAAAGCACACTACTCGAATTTACACTCATATACATGCAATTTTTCTATTTGTTCGTAGATTGAAGACTCGTTTCGTGCAATTGGCACAACAGGAAACCTCCGAAAATTTTACTACGAAGAAAATTGTAAAAGAAGAAACGTGGATCAGTATTGCTTATACAGCCAGGTCATCATCTTGGTAGAGTGAGTCTTAGCTTAGTAGAACTCTAGTAGAACTGAACAACCAGTGTCTTAATGACTATACCATTATGTTCTAGGCATGCATGGTACTCAACTTAAAAACATTTTCTAAATTTTTTGCAAATGTGCATGTGTGTTAAAGTGTAAATAAAAAGTATTAAAGAGCTATACTATAGAAGCAATTCCTTTAATGCGTAGTTGACTTGCTGTACTCAAACAGAAATGTAATTGATCTCATGTATTCAATATTATAATAATATAATAACGATATTTGTGCTGCATTGTTTGTTGACTCGATCGGTATTATAGGTAGAAATCTTCGATGGAACGGAATATTTCGCTCAATTTATTTATCTTTTCAATTGTGAAATTAAACCGAGGCGGATTTACTGGATAGATCACAATTGAAAAGAAAATCAAGCGAAAAATTTCCTTTGATCGAAGTAATTTACCTAGTAGAAAACCGGCCTAACACCTAAAACGGTGTTAAATGTGTTTAACTCCAAAAATGGAGTTATGTTTTAAGTCCAGAATTGGAGTTAAATTTACTCCAAAAGCGGTGTTAAATTATAACACCAGAAGTGGAGTTATTTGTTACTCCAAAAAGCTACTCATTTTGAACCTTTTTTTTTGACCCCTTTTTTGGTGTTAAAATAACTCCCTAAAAATAACAGTGTGAGAAAGATACAAATGCTCAATCCTTAGAAACGGTTTTGAGTAAAGCTCTTTTTTTGTGTGTTTCTTCCTTTTTTGCGTATAACTTTGGCATTTGTATAGTTATTTTTTACGTCCTATCTTGTTTTAATTATGTTTTTTAAACAAATAAAATTTATTATCGTTGTATTATAACCTTTTCTATAATGGCAACCAAAGACAACGCATAGAAGATTCTTAAGTCGGATGGAGACGTATAATTTATATAGTGTCCGTAGATCGGCGGGCTGAATAACTGTACGTTTTATCGGGAACGCTGAAAAAGATTCTCGGCAAAACTAGTCCGACAGCGGGCAGCCCATCTGGCAAGCCTAGTCGCATATGAGCCGGATATCAAGTCGCTACTAGGAGCAGGTGCAGGTAAAAATCGTCTTTATAATAATGCCGAGAGTATGGATCAAGTGGATACTTGGTCGATAATGGAAATTAAACACTTTAAAGCTTCTAAACAAAAACAATGATCCTTTATCAATCGCGTGGTTAATGTCTATTGAAGTTTGGAATGAAAATTCATCAACGCTATAGAGCATTTTGCCGCTTTTTAGCAAGATGCCATTCCTATAGCAGAGTGTTTTAGAATGGAACTCTGTTGTACGATGATCGATTTCCCGTAACAAAAACAGGGACGGACTGACCTATCGGGCATTTGGAATTGGTGAGGGCCCAAACAGTCTAGGGGCGCCAATTAGGTGATACACACATTTATACTTGCTCAGATGAGATGGTTTGTGTATAAAAAACAGTGTTTAAACCTCAAAAATATGGCTCGTCCAAGTACCTAAGATAATTTATGTAAGCACGCATATAGGATATTAGCAAATATTTACATTGAGGCAAAGCAGACCACGCATATGGCATAAGCCTCTTCTTTTATAATCGGGATCATGGAAAGATCAGTGGCGTGGCCATGGCAAATCAATTTGCCATCAGTAGCAAATTTTATGTTATTATCATTATTCATTCTTTAGAAATTCGTTGTTTTCGCAGTCAATGAACACCAAAATATTAACATAGGCGGTGGCAGTGGGAAAGATTCATGATCAAACAGCAATAACTCTAATTTTCTCGGCTTTTCTATTCCCAAACATTGAAGAGCGGCTATAGGGGCCAATTGTATAAATCTCGTAATAGCTATACATTTTGCGTGGTTAAATCGTAGCATTACACGATTTTGGTTGGTCAATTCTATCGGTAATCGTAAAATTAAGCCTAGTGGAAAACCTCCCTTCGCTCACTCGAATACACGTGCGGGCGGTTACACATCAGTGATTATATTCAACTTTGTCACGTTCGCTTTTGTACACAGACCGGACAGCGACGCTTTTTTACGAATTTTTAAATTTTTACTTCAGTTTTAAAAGCAATTAAGTTTGATCATGTCACCGTATTCTCAGTGCCAGTGGGGTAGTAGCACGATAATTTGGGGGGTCCATATTCATATCTTCATGATACACAGGATTAATTTATTTTCAAATCAATTGTCTTTACAGTGTGTTAACATGAATATATAAATATCGGCCCCCCAATTATCGATGCTGGCTACGCCATTGGTAATATTTGAGATCGCCTAAAATTTATTGATAACCGTAAAAAGCGAAGTTTGTCTCGGAAGTTGTAGACAACTGAAATCCAAATTATTACATTCTTCGGTGTTTTTCTAGTTTGTGGAAACTTTTGTTGTTGTCGACTGTTTTTTGATCTTCGCTATTTTATCAGCTGGTTTTTCAACCTCTCCGTATCGCTTGCTAAATCAAATAAGCGATAGTATTTGTGCTAATGTGTGGACACCATAAGCCTGAATCTCTTATTTGTCGTTATCGTTATATAGCTGTCAATCACAATTAGTTGTCGACAAATAAATCCCTTGTCTTAGGAGGCCCTAATATACTATTGTACATGCATTATGATATTTCTTGTGTCCTTAACTCAAAATATTTTCTTTCAAAATTGATTTTACTTGTCAACGGCCGAACCGCGTCCTGCATGTGTGTGTGGGGGAGCTATTACGAAGCGAGACAGATGCGCTGGCTGACTGGCACAATATCTTCATGCCGCCAAACATCTCAAGAGATTGTATTTATCGTCATGTTGAATAATTATCAGCACCGCTAGAAAGCGGTTATAACATATGGTCCGGGAACTTTATCTAGGCCTAAAAGCGTTGCATTAAAACTAGTACTCCGTCTTTCTAATAGCAATATATAGGTATAATGTATATGTGTTAAGCCCGTTTTCTACTAGGCGAATTTATTCGCGCGAAGCGATATCTGAAATCTAGCGATGTGATTGGAATCGCTTCCCACTTGTGAATGGAATCGCTTCCCACTTTTTATCTGTTCGCGCGAAAAAAGTCGCCTAGTGGAAAACGCGCTTTAGCTATATGCGCATGACCCTTTGACAGTAGCGAAGCAAGACCGACTTTTGCAAATGGAAATATTTCAGTGCTCGTATACACTGTGAAAACAATCACTTAATTTGTAATGTCCGTTTTACACTGTCAAAGTTTCAGATATCAACCACATCATGCATGCAGTGGGAATTTTCAAACTGCAAATCCTAATTAAGTTTTAATTGCTGAAAATGTGTAAGCCAAATAACACTGAGTTATTTCATTCTAATATTTGGTACACACAATTAGGATTTTAGGATTTTCAAATGCAAAATTCTTACTGTGATGACTTCTTTTGGCGTACACTCCAAAGTTGTTTAAAATTGTAAGTGCATGTAATGGCTCGTTTGCTGCGAGTTTATGTGCGATTTTCTTCTTTTTTTATAGATGCGAACGAGTGATTTAGTTACTGATGTTCAAATAAGAGCTTTTATACATCAGAGTCTTCGTACCTAATCACTTGTTCACATCTATATCAAAAGAAGTAGATCGGACATAAAATCGCAGTCCATGTAAATGAGAATAAAGACAAAGGTTTCACATATATAGTTCCCAAATTTACATCTCTCAAAAGTAGCATTGTATTGCAGTTGCGTGAAAAATTGCACGATAACAGAGCCTTAGAACAGTTATTCGCCTCAGGCTTAGTGAATATCTCAATGTTGCTCATTGAATAAAAACCTCGCCTTTGTTACTGATTGATTGCCCTCATGACATCCGTGTGAATAATTATATAGAGCTTCTTTCCTATTTGACTGCGATATCATGAAGCACATCTAATTATTGTTTTCTCACCTAGAGCTGCATGTATGTTGCATTCTCACAAGGCCCGATTAAGTCTAGTTTTCCTACATCCTAACCTATCGGCGATGGCTACTGTCGGTGATCATTGATGCATAAAAAAGCTTTATCTATACCCAAAAAATTATCTACTTCGTTGATTCACCGACAATAGAAAGTAGTATATAGCTATATGAGGACATATTAAAACCAGGTATTAACGTGAGACTGTTCCATCCATAGCAGTTTAGGGCGTTCTTATCTTGAAGCTAGATTGTAATATATATATTTTAATTAATGAGAAGAGCTGGCTGTAAGAATTTTTTTAATTCAAATGACATGTGCGCAATTAAGTTACTTTCTCAATATATTTGAAAATATATTATAATCAAATTATCCTCATAATAATTCTGAATTTAAATTAAATTGCAAAAATAAAAAAACAATCGCGAAAAAACCACCATTTCATTTGTTTTTCGCCAAAATTTCTTTTTGGCCTAACATCTCGAAATTATATAGAAATTATAGAAATTTAAATTGACTTCACCTTTAAATTCATTCAGCCGTAGGTCTTAAATATCCATATTAAAGAATTATACTGTTGAATCAGCTAGTATATTATCATATATATACATCATGTTGGAAATTAATATCAAATTGATGCGAGATATTATTAATCTAAAATATTTTAACCATATTACCCTGCCATTCTATATATATATATAAACATATAATATGCACCCATATAAATTATATATAGGTCATATATAGGTTTATTGCTTGGGGCACTGTCATGCAGAGTCAGACGAAATGTTCCAAATTATAGCACTTTGCATAATATATTAGACACTGTTTCAACGTGGTAGAAGCTTAATCTTAAACATCTTGCATTCTATTATTATAATAAAGATAAGGCTGAAAGGAAGGCCAATTTATTGAGCTTTCAATACACACTTAAGGCCATGCGAGTTAAGAAGATAAAGCTGATGCAGACCGTGGGCATAAAAACGTTGCCCGCGGGTATAAAAGAAGGCGTTTTCATGCAGCTCTCACACACTTTCTGAAGCTCCATCTGGATTTTATATTACAAAGCTTAAAAAAAGTTGTAAAGGTAAGTCAATCAAGTTTCACGAATCACTAAAACATGTAAATAGATATGCATGACTTATTGTCCAAACACATGGAGCTAAGGCATACACATATGAGGCGAAATAATGTGTAGTTCTTCGCATATATATATCGTTTCTGACGGGCGAAAGCTTGTCATTCTACTAGCATGGTGTGAAATGTTTCAAGAACAATACCAGTAGATTAAGAAGTGTTTAATTAAAGAACAATGCCAGTAGATTCCTACATTTATAGGCGAAATATTTATAACCTATTTATAACCCAAGTAATGTTTTTGGACTAAACTTTAGCTATATGATTTTTAATCTATTACACGCTTTTTTTAGCGAAAGATGAAGATTGTCCTATTCGTTCTTGTTTGTATTCATGTCATTCTTGCGTCCGAGCGTCGTTCACAATATTGTGGATCGAAATACATCAGAACTTGCAATCGTAAGGAAAATATTATATCATGGTATTTTCAGTTACGGAGCTTTACAGAACAAATCTTTTAAAGGGGTCATCCAATTCTTTTTTTTTACTATTTTTTCTTTCAAACATGCACATCTGTTACAAAATTGCGGGGGAAAACTATTCTCTGAAAAAAGTAGTATCCACAAATCGACATGTTTTGAAAACACCGGCCTCGCCTGGTTGCTTATATAAGATTAAATTCTCATATTTCATCTTTTTGAGTACTCGCTATACTGTTTACTTTTATCGCCATAAGGCTGTTTTCCACTTATACAGGGATAATAAAAGTGTAAATATGTAGGTAAGATGAGTATGATATAAATCATAAAAAACTGAGTATAAAAAAGGCCTATTTTAGATCTCTTTGAATTCATAAAAAAAAACTATATAAGTTTTAATTTCGAAAATGTGAATTTAAAAAACTGTTTCGGCATGAATTCCATTTATCCGTTTGGTAAATTATAATATTAGGCTACCTCCAGAAGGACGTTTGCCTGGCGCACCACAGCTACAAGCCAGTAAAGTGCCAGCCGATAGTTTGACTGAAAGCTAGCTACAACAAGCTGAATTTTTCTTCATGTCAATGACAACAACTGTATGCCACGATATAGCTTTGGACCGGGTATAAAATCAAAATAATTGTAAAACTTTGTGGCTTTATCGGACATATCGGGCATCAGTGCCGGAATTCGTCAGTTGGAGGCCTGTTTTCGAAAGCTTTGCAAAACAGTGCCCCAGGAATAGATTTCCCATTGGTACATCATCCTCGTTCCGGGTTAGCAAAGTAAAAACAAGGATTTAACAAATTAACAACCTATAGTTCTTATATATGCTAAATCACAATATATACTCATTCTCGAAAATAATTCAAAATTTCTTCATTCTAGCCGACCCTCCTTTTACGTGTTATTGGGACTGTGATGAATGTTTGAACTACTATTCTCAATGCCAAGGGGACCCTAGCTTCATCGCTTGCAAAAAGCGCTGCACGCAGGTCGACAAGCCGGCGTATCCGAAAATCATCTAAGTATGAAGAAATTGAGAAATTAAGAGTTGGGGCTGCATCAGTGAGCATTTAATGTATAATTATCAGTGTAGCTATATAATATAGATGAGTAGCAATAAAAATAAAAATGATTGCTGCAATATATAATAGTCTATCAATAATTACGTAACCACAATTGATGAATTAAATTATATAAAAAAGAGTGAGCATGTTGGCTTTGAATTTGTTGAAAAGTTCCTAGTTTTTAGCGCACTGAAGTGTGAAGGCAGCGGTTATATATTCTCTTTCACCTCTATATATAATTCCGTGGCATAACATCAGGCCTATTCGTTGATACCCTATGTTGATACTAATTGATATCGATGTTGATTTAAAGTGGTCCGCCACAGCAAAATTAAGATTTATCCCAGGGTACAAAATGCAATCTTAAAGGTATTCGAAATGAATCCTGAATATCAAAATTATATTTTTCTCCGAGAAATATACTGATAAAGGCCACGATGATGAGATTGAGAAATGAATGGGTTTTTTTTAAATGAAGCCTTTGTGCTGTTAGGGCAATATTTGTTATAAGTCAGGCAATTTGTGTTCCAAAGGCAGATAGGTTCCAAGAGTGTAAATTTTTACATTCCCAAGCTGATTTCACAGTTTCCCCGCGGATCCCCGAGCTCACTTGCACAGAAAAGAGTTTAGGGCAGCGGGGGCAGAGTTTCAGGAAAAGAGCACATTTCGTGATTCACCATAACATTGCCTTGGCTGAAAGTTAACTAGTTAAGTATTATTGGTACAAAAGGGCACAGGGCTGCGCCCAATAGCAAAGACAGTGGCCAGTGGGGGCAGCTGCCCAATGTTGAACTCGATCATCAATGTAGCTCATTGGAAATTAACAACATTCAATACTGCAGTGGAGGTCGGGGTTCCGGAGCCCGACGGACATTTTCCTCCATTGCGCGGTTACTGGTCGAAGAACTAGGGCAAGTCAGGGATTCCAATATGGCGGCCGCCATCGGAAGATTTTCTCGTTGTTTTGCTCGTTTTGCGAGTCCAAATCGCCTTTTAATAAAACCTACCCCGGCGGTGACATGTATAAGGTTAGTGAAAAGTATCCTGCAAATAACTGCAGGACGACTGGTTTATATTGAATTCATACTGTTGTGCAGTGTATTGAATATTGATTGCTTTTATGTTTTAATAATTTTGGCCTGACTCGCATTCGCAAACGTCCTTATGTCTGCTACCGAACGTTCGTTGGCGAGGGATGAAGGGGATAATGTTATCTTAACGACTCCCCTTGCCATTCTACATACTAAAAATTTTCTGATGTACATAGTTCATGACTCCATGGCAAGAGGAGGGGGGATTCGTTAAGATACCATGATCCAAAGCTGACCCATAAAGAAAACATTGTCCAAAAGATAAATAATTTACTTGAATGGTAGTTATAACCTTTCGCATTAATGTCGCATTAATGTATGGACAAAAGGCTACTTACTGTCAGGAGGATTTAGCTGTGATAATTTTAGTTCCCTTTTGTTTTTGTTCCCTTTTCACAAAGCGAGATTGTTAAGATAGAAAGATGGCTAGCAAACAGAATTGATAAATAATCATGTCGGGTATTTTATAGAACTTTGTGCCCTAGCAGCCTCTGAGCTTTTACAATTGATATGCCTTGTATGATTTCACAATATGATTACTTCTCTATTTAAAGAACACTGAAACGTGTGGTCAGTGAAGAGGCTGAAGAAGAACTTCGACCACAGTACAAGCTTCCTGGTGAGCTTAATGATTGGACAGGGAATGTTCTTTACCCTGATGAACAATCAAAAAAGTGGGATGTCAATGGTAAGGCATTACTAGGAAATGAAAATTGCTATTTGCTTAATATGTAACAGATGGTTTACAACCAAGGCTTGCCCAAAGCTTTTGCTGCCAGTATGTCCATTACCATTCACTTCCAAACAAAGTGAAGGTTAGAGACTACCTTATCACCAATTGATGTGATGTGGTCTGTTTGCTAATCTGCTTAATAATCTTGAAGCAATCCAATTTTTCAGGGGCAGAGTACAGAGTAAGTGCAGTACTATTTCAAAAATTTTTTCCAATCCACATTATTGTACTAAATATATTAACAATACTGTGTATATTGAATCATGAATGTGTACATGTATGTGCTGCAAGAAATGCATAATTTGCACATGTTGTAGTGTATCACTGTAATTTATCACTGTAATTTCCTTTAACTTTAAGTGTTCATTGGCCAAATTATTTAACTAAATTAAGAAATCATTGGTTCATTGGAAATGAGCATCCCAAAATTACATAGTAACACTGGGAATTTTGGTTATGAAGCAATGAAAGTTGTAAAACATACTCATTGTTTGGATTTGGGACACCAGTGTGTTGACAGTATTGACATATTTTCTTTAAGTCATCATAGTTGGTATGATATTACTACAGAAATTTTACACATGTATTCAGTTCACTGCCAGTATTGTAAATGAAGAACAATATTATGTAGTTTTATTATGTCTAACCTTTTTGCTGTGTGTAATTAGGGATTTTATAATGTAGGTCATAATGTCTTGTCAGGTTTGCAAAAATGTGCATTCAACTGTTAAAAAAGATCAATAATTATATACTGCACTAAATATGATCTGACAAAGTAATTTGCAGCACACATACTGAAGCCGTATTGGTTTTGTCGTATCAATATTGTTCAAAAGTTGTGCAAAATCAATCTTTTTTTAATGCTGATTTATACTTGACCACTTGGTACATTGCCCTGTGGTACAATACAGCATTGAACATCAGGTTAATAAAGGCCAATTTATGCTGTATTGATCTCTAATCCATAGGATACATCTCTCACAATAATGAGACAAATTGTATTTTTTAGAAATGTAGGCTTATTCACTCTCCATTATCTCTTATCATCCAAATAAATATACAGTTTAGAACTATATAAAGCAATAAAGTTACCGAATAAAGGTTTTTTTACTGTTTAAGACAAAATGATTAGTCAATGTTTGCATATATTTATTTAAACTATTAAACTGTAAAAAAACACATTAAAAATCAAGACACTGCAACATGATGGACAATGTAGTGCACCTTGTTTGCATGGTATATTTTATTTGGCTGATTTAATTAAATGTACCACTTTGCATGCAAACACATTTTCTTTCTTCTTTATTACCATGTATTATTCCTGCAAAATAAAAGGATTCGAAATGACATACTGCACTCATTATAGTTCACCCTATATACCCCAGAATAACAATATATTGTTATTCTCTTTTTAATTCATTGTGGAGTGATTGAGAAGGTTCAGAAATTGAGACTGGGTAATTAAACAATGATAAATTTTGTCAAAAAGGTTTAAAAAATATCTTATCTTTATACATATCAGCTAGCAGGGCAGGCACCCTTCCAGGTCATGTTGCTCCAATATAGAGTGACTAGTATATTTTTGTTTTAAAATACCCTTTTGATATCAATAAACATGGTAAGATAGTACCAACTGCCACATACATCCAAACGAATAAATCATATCCCATTAAAGATTTGGCTATGCAGTACCGAAAAGGGTGACGTAGCAAAAAAAGCAAAATACGACAAAATAAAGTTTAAAGCAAAATACGATATATTACGGATAAATATCAGATAGTTGCTTTATACAGTAGCTATAAATTGTCTAAAATTTCAGACAGAAAAAACGAAAATATTTTTAAACGCTTGTTCGCTTACGGTACTTGATATTTACACCAATAAAACATTATCAAGAGCACAAGTAGAGCAAGAAACCGCTTCTTCGTTCAATTTGCAAAAGAAACAATTTAACTTTTTACTTTAAAAACGAAAAATTAGAGGAAAAAAACGACCGAAAAGGCGAAAATCAAAGGTTTTTATCAAAAACCTGGAGGTAGACGGAATTAATTTTTTTTTACTTAATTTGGATCGTTATTTCTCAGTGTGGGACCATATTTGACGTCAGCAAAGCTCAAAATCAATAATTATTTTTCACTTTTTGATGGCGAATCGTTCTGTAATATATATAAGATTTCAGTTAAAATGGAGACAAAAAAGAGGTGTGTTGTGTACGCGCGAAAAGCTAAAAGATATTGATACTAAAATTCAGATTTTTTGTACATTGGAAGTTGCAAGGAAGGTTACATAGTCTAAGGCGCCGCCTTAAACCATGGTTGCATGGGGTCTCGAACTTGCATAGGTTGCCAACATACAATAGAACGAGCTTCAGTGGCGTAGGAAGCACGATAATTGGGGCTTCCTACGTCACTAGCGAGATTAAGATGCACCAAATCAATGAGGCATACTCTGTGAGAAAGAATACTGTCCACTCCAAAAACTACTCTACACACAAATAAAGATTGACCGGCTACATGGTTAAAATGTCAGAGCCGTATACAACGTGATACCGATTAAAATCAGATTTCCTAACACTATATAGCGGCTGTTTTGATGTCGCATCGGCGTCGTAAATTTAGTGCATTTTGAGCGTGCTATAATACTATAATAGAGACCCCTGCGACCTGCGCAGCAAGTTTCATCAACATCATCGTCATCAATATACAGAGTTGACATATTTACAGTCAGCTTTCATCTGAAGGTTTAAGAAAATTGCAATCTTGTTTAGAACCTGTGGAAGAAGCCGCCGTCACAAACCTTACCGTGAACTTTGGCCCGCAACATCCGGCCGCTCATGGTGTCCTACGTCTTGTTCTTGAACTTGATGGGGAGGTATGTATACTGACAAAAACAAGTGTTGACGTCTTGTTACTTAAAATCTATGGGTTATATATACACACGTAGTTGTATCGCACTAAAGTACATTTCATTGTGCTCGGACTGTCAGGCAGCACTAACTTGAAGTTTTACAAAACCCAAACGTGTACGTGTAGAATTTTTTTGTGCATAAATGTCCAAAGTGCATATGATATAGCTAATAAATAACAGCAAAATTATCAAACTTTGCAATAGTAGTTTGACCAGCATTATAAAACTTCCTGACCAGCATTAAAACTTCTGATGTAGAATTTTTTATAACAAGTAAAAGTGATCACGTACAGTAATAATACCACGTCCCTTTCGTCGGAAACAATCGCAATGAATGTCGTTATATCCATTTCCTTCAAATGCTTATATATGGCCTTATATCGTAATAGTCGAAATTATGTGAGCATTCCTCTCTTGGATATAATCCTGTTGGTACATATGTGCCTAATTTCTCTATCAAAAAACTTCTATCTCTCTCGGCGGGGGTTTAGTCATATAAGTAACATCAATAGTCTGCACTATGAAATCACTTAACCCCAAATGACCCTCATCTAAATAAGGTTTATAAATATTGTTAAACTGCTCCCTATTGGGATCTTCCAGTGCATGAAGACCCTATCACGAAAATATAGTCCGCCATCTTGGGTGGCATGAGCCTTTTTTCAACCCAGAACCTTACAATTTGGAAGTCCTCTGTTCTTACAAGCGAACCGGTTAGTGTTTGAACTACAGCCTCAGTTGCTCTCAAGTTCTTTTTACTATTAACCTACGGTATTTTACTTTGCTATACCCAAAATGGCGAAAGGCTAAAATTACAAACTGTGACGCTACTTGCAAGCGCTCAATACGTATGAGGTAATTTTCGACCTTTACCCATCCGTGCGATTTTAGTTCACCTATAATTTTTGTACGGTGAAATCTATTCAATAAAGTGTGATATTTATACCCCTATCTTTTGGTGCTACTCGTAACGCTTGCAATGTTGCTGGAAATTCCGAAATCGTACCAAAGGTAGTTTATTAGACATCTAAAATTACCGTATATAGAAACCATTATTACCACAATACTTCTAATTCCTTACTTGGATAATAACCAACAACAAATGTATAAATCTATCTTTCTCTTCGAAATATATTACTACTAATTGCCACTTTAATAATTACCACTTTCCTTATCAAACAATATCCCAAATTCCTCAAACCTAGTTGTGGATAGACACATTACTATATAACCCCCTCTTGAGAAGAAACTATAAAGTCCCTAATCCATTTTCGTAAACTTAATCCCACCGATAAATACGCTTTAATACGCGTTAAAGGAACTCCTCTCGTAATCACAAGTGGGGGGTGATGGGATTTTAATTGTTCAAGTACTCGTGTGCATCGGTAATTGGTTTACTGTATACATCATTACATAAAATCCCATTTTCCAATTCCACTAACACGTCAAGGGAAGAAATATTTCGACGACTGAACTGATTGTTCAAGCGTATTTGTTATCCTCATCAAATATATTATTCAACTTCGTCTCTCCTCGAATAAAGCAAAATCACAAAAATATTATCCGGCAAAAAACTCTACAAAAGGGTTCATATTCACATGCCTCTAAAAATTTCTTTTCTAATAAGTATAGGCCACGGAAATGTTATAGTAAAACCCGTGGTGAAATTGGTCGAGCCCAGCGTTCCAAATTTTTGACGAAAACTCCTTTCATGAAATTTGAAGTCATTAATCTGTCAAGTTATTCTTATGCCATGCATGAAAATGAATGAAGAGCGTTCGGAATTGACTGTATATGTATGAGCTTTGAAAATCGAAATTCAATTCATCGGTAAAACGTACGTTATATATATGCAAATGTTTTAAAGAAATTTTTTATAGAGCCTTTGCATTTTAAAGGAATGGAATGGTCACTAGTTCCTAAAAATATATGAAATAATTCGTGACATTATTGTATTTTATATTTATCATTACATGCACAAGGTTTATTATATGACTTGCTTTCTGATTTTATTTTAATTGTAGACCGTTGAGAGGGCTGATCCACATATTGGATTGCTTCATCGAGGAACGGAAAAGCTGATTGAATACAAAACGTACTTACAGGTTTGTTTTTTTTGCCAAATATCGTGGTGTGGTTCCGATCATCAATCTCCTGTTGTGATACCAGGTAGAGGGGTAAATAAGTTTCCATAAAAAATGCAAGAATGGTATGTGAAGTTTCAATAGAAATGGATATGAAACACAATTAAATTTCATTATATTATTAAGTTGGTGCACATACATCTCAGCATGCACTGGGTTTGTATTTTCAGGCAATTTTCGTTTGCGTTTGAGATGTGGGGTCTAGCTCTCAACAGAATTTAAATGAAATTCGCCTCATCGGAGAGGATATTTTAAAAATTCACGAAAGACCTTGTTATAAGTTATAACATAACAAATGCATGGTACATGAAAGGCAGTCAGTCGCAAACGAATTCTTTAGGTTTTGTATCTGAGGGATTAAAGTTTTATATAAGCGTCGTTTTTTCCTTCGCATAAAGAAGGCATCATTCATATACATATCACACCTCATTCTTGACCATGTATACCAAAGGCATGCAATGCAAGAACAACAGTTGAATGGCTGCGCTTTTGCAAAGTTAAAATGAAATTATTCCGATTACGTAATGCAGTATTTTAATATCCGTATTTTAAAGGTTCTGATAACTGCCTGGAAATTCATTAGATACACGGAACTGTTTTTTCACAGCATGCAAGTATTAATTCGCTATACGACCCATGCAGTTATAAAAATTATACCTGTTGTGTGGTCAGATAATAAACCTCATCATCGTAAAATATCAATCATTTAATAGCTTAATCGTTTTTCGACCGTGTGTAAAATGTTTCCTGATCGCTATATAAATGCATTTTCCTGAAGCAGGAAAGAGTTGAAAGAATTCTTAACAGACTCCCGCTTCGCTGCTTTTGCAGATTTACATATTTTTAGTAAGAGCTACAACAATTGACATATACTATAATAGTTGAGTTTTAAGTGAGATGTCGTAGGTTATCTTATTTAACAAATGTTAATCTGGTTATAGATATAATTAGGTAGTTTAATAAAGCAACTGTACTGTCAACATTAGAATTCTGCAGATCAAGGCTTTTTTAGATGTAATTAGGTATTTTAATTAAGCAACTGTACTGTCAACAATATAGAATTCTGCAGATGAAGGCTTTTGACAAATATTTTGTCAAGTATTTTGCTGCTATTACTGTCGTTGTAAAATAAAAATCGTAGATACATGAGCCCTGAACAAAAAGAAAAGCTTGCATTTATAAAAAATGCATGGATGCTTAGTTGAATTGGCTGTGTTTTTCTTTCACTGATAAAAATAAGCATGCAGAAGCAGTTAATTAGGATAATTAGGCGAAGATGACCAACATCGTGTAAACTAGGGCTTATGTATATATATTATATATGGCAAAAGAGAGAAACAAAGAACTTTTGAAAATAATGCATAATAGCTATATTACCACAGATCTCTCTCTCCCTCGTGGTTGTCATTTGGAAGGAAATTTCCTTCATTTGTAGAAACCTTGATGTGACACTTTAGTCACTTTAGAAAATGACAAAGCCGCACGATTATACATACAAAAAATTGCAATTCATGTAGTAATATAGCTAGCTCTCTATCGTAGCGAAAGACTCCTCTCTAAAATTTCACTATATTTCTTTGCAGGCGTTGCCTTATTTCGATCGTTTGGATTACGTGTCAATGATGAACAACGAACAATGTTTCTCTCTCGCCGTTGAAAATCTTCTCAATATCGAAATTCCCGAGAGAGCCAAGTGGATAAGAGGTACATATATAGGTCTTAGAGGGTGATATATATATAGATATATACGCATGCTATGCATGCAACTTAAGGTTGTTTTTCACTTACGCGTTTTTCATACGTACACGCACTAAAAAGTCTAAACCCTTGTACATTTTATCTTTGAAAAAACTAAGTGAATAAATCGAAGGAACTTAGTTTTCTGCATATTTTAGTATGCATTAGTTGACCTAGATGTTAAATAATAAAAGTGTAAAAGCATTTCAAATTTTCCGTTCGTGTACGTGCGTATATAAAAAACGCGTAAATGGAAAGCAGCCTTTACGGCTTTAGTCAGAAATTGTACCTGTTTGTTCGATCGAGTTCTTTCGAGGTCCTCCATACTTTACATTTTTTAAACAAAACGTGTTATTGTTATAAAAACGCTAAATATTACGCCAGTGTAGCGAAAATAGTTCTTTTTGCATGCTCTCCTCGCATTAAGCAACCTCAAAATGGTTGGTTAAAAGCAACATTACCACAGAATAGATACCTATATCACAAAGTCATCTCTATTGTTTTCTGCATGAGTGTGATTCGTCATTGATTCGTCACGCAGCCAGTGACTTTCAACTGTTGAGTCATTTGCTGCGGGACGAATCAATGACGAATCACAGCGGAAAACGATGGAGATGACTTTATGATATATGTACAAATTCTGTGACCATATGTCAGGTTTATAGGTTTGTAGCGCCTTGTGATGCAAACAACTTGTTGAATTACGTAGTTTCCGTTGCGCCGCGAAAGGAATTTGTTACGAATTTTGCTAGCATAATTCTTTGTTATAATTCTGTTAGGAAATTGGCCCGCCTTGTTTAATCTTTTCTTCTTTGTTTACTTTATATTTCTTTTTGGCAGCAATTCCAACATTTTTATAACTAATTAACGCTTCTTGCCCAAAATTATAAATTTATAACACGCCTCTGTTACATCTTGTCACGAATCTTTTAAATTACTCTAATGACAATGACTTCGCGCCCCCGAGGGGACGTCCCCGCAAAACTACTCCTATATATATATAAATATATAATGCATGTCCTAAGTATTCTTCATTAGAAAAATATTGCGTGATCACGCAAGTGCTGTAACATGCATGTATATACCCGAAGTAGTTCAAGATGGCGGAAATCTCAAGTTGACAAAGAGATTAAATTAATATCTTTAAAAGCTCTTTCCAAGTAACTGCCAAAAAAACCCTATTTTTATTTAACATACAAAATTTCTAAAGAATGAAGGCTTCAAGCTCGTTAATTTTATGTCTTTTCAAAAATAGGGGCGACGATGGAATACTTAACTGGGGGGGGGGGGGGCAACTTGGAGACTGTCTATATATGTCTGGGACAGTTCAAACAATGAACAATGTCTTGTACACTTTACACCCCTCCCCCACCGCAATCAATATAGTATTTACGGGCAGAGTTTTAGGAAGTAGTTTCGCAAATTAAGGAATAGTTGTTTAGTTTCCTGCATATACGAACACTTTTAACTAATAGTGGTTATATTTAGTGTTGTTTGGCGAGCTTACTCGGATATTGAATCATTTGATGGCTGTGGGCACTCACGCACTCGACGTTGGAGCTATGACTCCCGTATTTTGGTTCTTTGAAGAAAGAGAAAAGGTGAAAAATCTCTTTTTATGTATTCGAATTGGTAGGATTATGGTCGGGGCATGGAATTTAATAAGTGACACCTTAGTGAGGTTAACGTTCACTCCATGTTCTTCGTTTAACATTATTTAAATCCGGGGAAATTCGTTTGCATGCATGCAGCACCAAAACCCATGATACAACGTTGATTTTGGAACACCGCAAAAATTGGTTAGTCGCAATTCATAATACTTGGACTTCAAATTTGATGACTCAAACGATTTATCGATGCATGCTTAACAATTAAAATATAATTTACACAGAAGATTTGAAGCTTGCACATGGTAAAAACGAAACTTCATATAAACACTATGATTTGGTCTTGGAAACTGCATGCATTTCTCTTAATCTTTATAGTTACTTTAAATTCGCCATGCAGTTCCATATTTACTCTAACTGGCTTCAATGAATATATACACTATTGCTTGCGAAAATTGGATAGAAGTTGGAAGAAGAAACATTTGCGCAGTTCATGTATGCTTTATGTGTCAAAGGTGCCTGGGTTTTTGACCACAAACGAACTATACAGCAATCTGCATTGTTCGTAGTATTTTTAAATTATTGTTTGTTCTTTCTCTTGCGACTAGATGATGGAGTTGTACGAGCGTGTATCAGGAGCAAGATTGCACGCTGCCTATGTGCGCCCTGGAGGAGTGTCCCAGGTACATTCAGTAAAGACTATATAGTTCTTCTATAAAGTGTCAAAAATGAAGGTTTTTTTGTTCCGCTAAGGAATAAATATTTTATTGAAGAGTTGTAACCATATCCATATAAAGCCTGTGTTTGTAAAAATATGGTTAACTATATAAACATTATACAGCTAATGTTAACCTCCCAGAGATAAGATTAGTTTTTTATTGCCGAATGTCTTGGGGGGGGGGGGGTTGGGGTCTCAAGAGGGCAACAATTTTTTCACTTAAGTATATGTAAATTAGCTTGTATAGCTACACCACGTACTTAAGTATTTAATAATGCACAGCTCTCAGTCCGTTGATGATGTTGCACTGATGAAGGACCGGGCTTAGGGACCGAAAGCTTGCGGTATTAAAGACTAACGTGGTGTCCCTGCAAGCTAATTTACTTATATTGTGATATCTCCATGCAATTACAAAAATATCATTTTTCACTTGTTAGCAAAGACACCTGATTACGAATCGGCTAATCATAATTTGCGCCACGTATTTAACAACATTTTTATTTCTCCATATTAAACAAGACGAGCTGCGAGTGCTTAGAATGCTAGCATATGATGTTTGTGGAGAAGCTTGCCCAGTATATCTGTAGTGAGTCTCCATAATCATGCATGGTAATTCGTAACAGTGCCTTGTAATATATAATTGTAGGATCTTCCGTTGGGTCTAATGGACGATATTTATGAGGTGATTCGAAAAATTCCGCAGCGAATGGACGAACTAGAAGAAGTAAGCAATGCATGATTATAGCTTTTTTTTCGTATCTTTAATACATCGGTTCTTTAAGGGGGCTTGATAGGAATTATTTATGGACAGTATATTTTTCCCCATAAATTGTTTAACCGTGTAGAATTGTCCTTCATTCTAGTTCCTTTCACACCCTGGTTCCTCCGTAGCTCTGGGGCCAGTTGTTCAAAAGCCGGTTAGTTTAACCCTGCATAGGTTAAAGCAAATCTTTATATGAATTTTTCAAATCGCTTGTTTATAAAATTGAATATCTTTTTTCATCAACATTTTCTGGACTGATAGAAATCATATATTTTCTAAAGTTTCAAAACGAACAGTGGTTCAGAAGCACATAAACTAAAACATTGGATTAAAATTTAACCCAGGGCTACCGTTAACCTATAGCTTTGAACAACTGGCCCCTCGAGTATAACTGCATGAAAAGTATTATTCACCACACTGCCCAGCGTTTTAGATGGAAAAATATATTTTCCATAATTTATTCCTATCAAGCCATATAACATTTTCACATTTTGGCCTATTGAAAATCGGCCAGAAAAAATGTCTGTACAGAAAGGGTTCCGAGGTGCTAAGCCGAAAAATCTGTTAATATAATCAACTGTTCTAAATCCATGAATTTTACAATCAAATATACAGATGCTAACAAACAATCGTATTTGGAAGCAAAGGACAGTCGATATTGGCGTTGTTAGCGCCAAAGATGCACTCGATCTTGGCTTCAGGTAACAACAGTTGCTTGCTTTTGTGGGATTATTCGCATGGAAAAATTTCAAGAAATGCTAATGACGTATATCGGTTCTCTCTATATAACAAATAGGTCGCACACTTCCTGCAATTCCTATAATGACAAATAATAAAAATGTATATTTCATTATTTCCATAGAAATCAATTTTTATTGATTTCTATATAGTTTATATATATATAATGTTTGAAGGTTGAAGATATTTGTCATAATTCATTTATTTGAAACTTCCTTTTTTGAAAAATTTTTAAATTTTGAAAAAGTTGAAAAAGAAGATCAGGGGTCGGTTGTTCGAAAGGCGTATAGCTTAAACGGCGGATAAGCCAAAGTTTAAAAATACTCTCATACATCTTGTGAATGACTGAACCTGTATCTTATGCATTTAATATGTACTTCCATTGACAATTAAACTATTTACATCGAAATATTTCAGCTCAGTTGTTCAATAGATAGATAATTTGGTTTTCCATTTTGAACTTATCCACCGTTTAAGCAAAACGCCTTTCGAACAACCGGCCCCAGGCGGATAACTAAGGCAGAAGGCTTTCCAAACCGGCGTGCATCAAATAATTTTTAGTCTATATATATACTTTACCAACCTTAAATTTTATTAATTAGTTATTAAACTTTAAATGCTTTACTCTAGCTGTAAATCATATCTCTATTGAATTCTTGTAAAATAACTCGCAATCTTAATAGACTGCAATTCAGTTTTAACTAGACTGACTTTCAAATAACCTATCCATCTAATCTATCTAGCTATCTATCTACCAGCTTTACTTACGTTCCATTTACATGTTTAATCGATTTGCTTTTGCAGTGGTGTTATGGTGCGTGGTTCTGGTATAAAATGGGATTTACGCAAAGCTCAACCCTACGATGCTTATGATAAAGTAGAATTCGACGTTCCTATTGGTGTCAACGGAGATTGCTATGATAGGTACAGTATATTGTTTCACATCATTTATGACATACGTCTTTTCGATCACCTTTGTGGTAACAACGGGTGTTTTCGGTTTCGAAATTTTATTTCGTTAGGATATTACTTACTGCCTCATGACGAGACAAAACAATTTTTTTCTGGAAGTCAACCACAAAACAATTCGCGAAGAGCGCAAAAAACTGCACAAACATTGGGATAAGACCATAACAATTTTTGGCCATATTTAAAAAAAACTTTAATATTCTTATGCAGCTTGGAAAAAAAATTCCGTAAGGGCTATCAACAGTCAGGTTTCATCAAGCCTATCGTCAATTTGTTACTGAAGTCTTGAACCCCTCTCCTCCCCCCCTTCCTCTTTTTGCGGCGAGCTTAACTATAGTACACATTAACCCACAATTGTTTATCATATAATTCCAGTAAAAAATAGAGTATTGTGTAAGCTAGAGGTTTTTACTTTTTGATGTTCATTTATAATCTACACATATAAACATATGTACGCGTCGTCATGGTTTGATGTTATTTGCAAACTATCGTGAAGTGCGCTGCTTTAATATTATCACTACGTTATCTCTACAGGTATTTATGCAGGGTGGAAGAGGTGCGGCAAAGCTGCGATATAATTATACAGGTAAAATTTCTCTTGTGTATGCTACGGAATAAGATTAGATTAAATCTGTAGACAAATTCAAGTTGTTCATAAGGAGATTTGATGAATTGATGAATATGAAAGCTATCACGATATATATATAAACAATTCTGTATTTACGATTTTATGTTTGGTGTTTATCATTAACATGCATGTACTCCACATTGTTTATAGTGTTTGAACCGCATGCCTGAGGGTGAAGTGAAAGTTGACGATGCCAAAATCGCTCCTCCGAGTCGATCTGAAATGAAGGTACAGTGAAGTTAGACAGCGCACGCACAAAATCTGAACCTTAACAAATCCAAAATGAAGGAAAACGAAAACAATAAAACTGCAAGGCACTGATGATTCAATGATCGAGTTATCATTCCAGTTTACACAGAGTTCACTGTTAAACACGTCAGGATGTTGCCATTATAACTCGTATCTTTTTTAAAGACGTTGAATTGAAATGCATTTCTAGGAGTCCATGGAAGCATTGATCCATCATTTTAAATTATATACTGAAGGTTATCCAGTGCCACCCGGTGCTACGTATACAGCTATTGAAGCCCCAAAGGTAAGACTGATTTCTTTTTAAACTAAAAGTCGGTAAATTTGTTTACATATTCTATGCAAAGCCGTTTAGAATTCCTTAACTTTTAATACTTCATGTAAAATGGTAAAATAATTTACCTTTTTTCCCGGACGTAGTCGAAATTTATGCATTTTGTTTGGGCTACTGAAAATGTTAAGGCATAACTACCAAAAAGTTGAGCTGGCGAGAGGCGCTTAATTGCACACAATTATTCGTCGATAAAACTATTTAGCTATGTCTACACTAGATAGGAATATTTTAGATAAAATTTGAAAATTTGTCCACCTCATCTGTAGTCTAAATTAGCTACTATATACGCAACTTTATATATGCATGCAGTAAGGCACAATAATATCTAAAGGTTATAAATAGGTTCTGCAATGAATTGTTAAACAGCAGAATAGTATACTATTGTTTTGTTCACTTCGTCACTTGTATTACATTTTGGAAGCATGATGTGGTAAGGGTGATCTTTGTTCCTCGTTTATGTCATGTGTCTTCCATCTACATAACTGATCACTTCAAACTGTTCACTTCTTCTATCTTCATGCATAACTGTTCACTTCTTCTAACTGTTCATGCACGTGAGGCATGATGTGTACGGGGTGATCTTCGTTCTTCATTTTTGTCATGTGCATGAGTTCTCTCTACATAACTGTTCTCACAATGTTTACACCTCAAAGTTGTTATATTGGCTAGCATGATCGCCTCATAACTATCCATTGGAGAGTGAACAATGGGGCAAAACTATTTATTGGGATTACGAGTAAAGAATTATTAAAGTATTTAGGGTTATTATAGTGATAATAAATTGCATTTTTAAGATTCTTATTGCTTAAGAAAGTTCGGCAGTAGGAATAATTATAATTCTAGATGTGGGAAAATCTAAATATTTTGGAGGTAAAATATGTCTTTTCATGCACCCTAGCTGGACTCGGAGTTAAATTTTAGCTTACCCTGGAATAATTTTCCGTTTGCTCTGGATTTAAGAACCATGCACTTTAGCCGCAACCTTTGATTTGAATCGTGCATGTCCCATTACACAAGTTGTCCTATAGGAAATTGATGATTTTTTTGGCTAATAAGCACGCTGTGTTTCGTGGCTGCCCCCCCCCCCCTGACCTATTATTACAACCTTGCAAAACATTTTGATGTGTAAGATGCTTTTATAGACAAGTTTCGTGTACTTATTTATATGTCACCTGTTTATCAGGGGGAATTTGGCGTCTACCTTGTTGCTGACGGCAGTAGCAGGCCTTATCGGTGTAAGATTAAAGCGCCAGGATTTTCACATTTGGTAAGATTCTTATATACTAAACCCTGTCGGGTGTAACCGTATATGCCCTGCAAAAGAAAGACATTCCCGTGAATTTTAGTCTATCTAATCTATGAATCTAATATCTAGTAATTTAATCTATGGATCGCAGGATTCCAGTGAATTGTATTAGAAATGGCAATGAGACAATAAAGACAATAACCTTTTAGCCACACAAATTTGTTGTGTTTCCACACATGAAGCTACTGGTCAGTTAAATCTGACGACATTTTAGGAAAATTAATCAAAATCTTATAAAAGTTTTTAGGAGGACTTCCTGTAATATCGCTAAAGATGATCGTGAAATATTTATGTAGGATTGATTATCTTCACACTTTTTCCTTCTTTTAGAGTGCCCTTCATGAAGTCAGCAAAGGTCATATGTTAGCTGACGTGGTGGCAATCATAGGTATACTACAGACTTTTTTACTACAAATTTGTAATTTTAACACTAGGGCAAGCAACCCCCCCTTATCGCGATGTTAGGAAATCGTATGGTAGTTACTTTAGTAATTAAAATCTCGTAGTGGATTGGCATGCATTAAGTACAAATGATCTGCATGTTTATTGATTTTTAAGAAGATATTGAACCACATTCGCGAAGTTGAACCAGCATGAGCTTCAATTCACATTTCCATTCAAAGCTTTTACTTTTAAAAAGTCGATCGTGCTTTGGCAGGCCAAAAAAGTAAGGCCCATGCAGTCTAGATGGCATACCTATAGTGAACAATTCGCGTCCATGCATGCAGGCATGTATGCAGTCTTTTCACAAAATCATGCAAAACTAGGTATATGCTTGATTTTTTTCCGTTACGAGACCAAATTGCAGGTTTTGTGGAGCATACGAAGGTTTTGTTTGTAACTACAATATCCTGGCCAAAACCATCGACTACACACTGAATGATTTCTAGTTTTTTATGCAAAACATAACATTTCTGTGTCGATTTACCCCCTCGCCCATCTAATCAATGTTGAATCTATGCTAAATGCTTGAATGAGTTTTGACACATCACTCAACATTGATTTCTGGGGGAAAGGGGGATAATTTTGGTATAAATCCTCCGACTGCTGACTGTAGTGTCAATTAACATTGAGTGTCTTCAATGTTTTGACCAGGATTGTACCTACCATTCTGAATTGGTATAAATCTATGGCATGTACGTATGTCCCCACTTGCATTTAAGATGATTCCAAATCACAGTACTTTATTTCTGATCCAAATTTCCATTTACGTTCTAGATGAACTTAAATTGCCTTATATTTCCTATAAGTTATATTCATAAAAACGCACGTAAAAGTGACGAGGTTTTCAATCTCAACTTCGTTTGAAAAATTGTTTTTACTTGATACTTTTATACACCGTGCATGTGTATATTGGTATAACATGTTGATAATAACTTAATAACCTGTTTCTAGGGACAATGGATATCGTTTTTGGTGAAGTCGATCGTTAATTGAAGCTCTGGCAATGCAAAGTTTGTTCGATCATAAGTATTTGTATATTTCTTTTCGATATTATATCAATAAAAAGTTTAATTTTAAAGTATGTATGTTGATTTATCACATATATCTCTCAGCTCTTTTTATCAGATGTCATTTTACATTTTTTTTACATTTGATGTGATTTATCATGAATCCCATATATAACTTGCATGGCTATGTTCCTTAACAGTACAGCGAAAGGTGAAGCTCTGTTATACCTTGATATACATCACCTATATTCCTGCAAAGATGTGGTTTTCAAGTTTCTGAAAGTGTCCATATTATGTAAAAACGTTTATCTTGCATCTCATAATGGCTGAAAACCTAAAAACGTTTAAAATCCAACGATATACATCCTTGCATGGATCGCCTATTTGACGGATAACCAGAAAGCTTTTCACTTCCAAACTTAAAAAATCAATCTTTGCACATACTGCTGTTAAATAGGGAATGATATAGATATATGTGCCAATGGAATTTACGGCATTTCGACAATCTTAGTATGGTTTTGTCCCATTTATTTACTATTTATTAAATAATATCCCAAGTGCTTTATGGTAATACTAGTATGGATCATACTATTATAAGTTGAAAAAAGGTTAAGGCCTAGGTAATAAAACCCATTCACATTACGAAAATAGTGTTCCAGGTCAGTTCCAGGCCACCTTCTTCTGTTGGCCTGGATTTTGTGGTCTCTAGGCCTGGTCTAGGCCAAATAAACAACATTCACACCTAGGCTAGGTCCAGGCTAGGCCAGGTCAAACCAGTGTAAACGCGGCTTAAGGCACTTGCAGTGGCCTAAAATTCGCCAGATTTAGTCCCCAAATAAAACTTTCGGTCCATTGCATATGTGGCTCGACGATTATGCTATTGGGTGCATTTTTTACGATCTCTGAATAGTAATATAGGAAATTCAAACCGAGAAGCCTCACTCATTTCGTCAATCCACAACCTACTCGCAGTATAATATATACCTTGTAATGTCCATGTTTGTCATTTGCTTTGAAGATGGTGTCTTAGATTGTTTTATAAATATGACTTTGTTCATATCGCTCTTTTACGATTTTAATATATGTCTCGCATTGATTTTTATAACATGACAGGTTTATAGTAGAACAGTGAAAATTTTGTTCCCGGTGCCACTTGAACCGTTGACAGCAATGCCAAGAATTTCTTTGGCATAACTGTGATTAAAGTGCGTGTCACGAAGCAAACACCGTGAAGTACATGCCCAAAGTGCACAAAACTGTTAATCCGCTTATTTGAAAGAATTCACGAAAATAATAGAACAGTGTATTTTTTCATATTTATCTAGATGAGGTATTTAAGCTGGAGTGATGTTGGGTGAATAAAGAAATGTTTCGTAGCATTGCTTCCTTTTAGCATATTCAAAGTAATGTTTTGTGTTATGCATGAATATTGAATAAAGTCAGTTGCATTTGTAAGCAGTGTTGAGTGTAGGGGACCATCTGGCTGGGAATGTTTCGTGGGTTGTTTTTTAAGTATATACAAAGAAATACAAATACCTCTCGACTCTGATTGATTTATTTCAGCACTTTCAAACATCATTGGCATTGCAATGAGCCATGTAAACAAATTTTGAGTGACGTGTTACCTCGCGAAGTTCACGCGAAAAACAACGAACATGACTCGTTCAGTGACACGTTTTGTTGGAAAGTGACACCATTAAATTTTCACAAAATTTATTTAAAAAAACAAGTTGAAAAAAGAAACGATGGAGAATCCTTTCTTTTTTATAACTACATGGAAGAAATTCCTTCTAAACGACCATTGCTTCTCAAGGGAAAAAATCAATGAGTACAAAGTTGTCAGTACAATTCAAACTATAGCAACGCTTGTCTGGAACATCTCGTACATCGGTAGTTACGTCACAACATTATCAAAGCAAATAGCTTGTGAGAGTAAAACTTGAAATCCGTCTCATGGTTCTAAATTTAAAACAATGTGATGTTAGAATGTTGTGATGTAATTACCGAAAAGGTCCATTATAGTGTAGTTTCTCGTGCAATTACGGTGGTAAACATGCACTTGAGAGTTTTTTAACAACTGCAATTTTTGCGCTCTTTTAGAACCCACCTGTGCATGTTTATTGCATTAATGTTAACTGCACTCGTAATCATCCATTACCGATGTACATAAATAGTCCTAATAATACACAGCAATTTCAAATATGTTAATTAGAAGAGAATCGTGACATGAATGGATCTCATTTAAATATCACTTAATATCAACTCGTTGAGCTGAATATCTTGTAGTCTGAATAAACCAGTAGACAAGCTCACTTTGTGCAATTATTGCGACAAAGATATGCGTGTGGATGTATGTTTCCTGAAGCTAATTCAAAAAATAAAAAAGTGAGGAAAAGGTTGAATACTGTTCACAAATTTTTAATTAATCACTAAATCACCTCCTTTCAGCTATATTTTAGGATGTCATCGTCTTCAGGAGACCATGCATGTGGTTGACATCAGAGAATATTTTCTCTGAATTCCTAATGAGTTCAAGCAGGTGTGCATATGTGTACATTCCACACAGAATGTGATCGTGTTTATATAGTGCAATTATACAATTATCGGATTACCTGCTGTCTAGACAGTCTCCATATAACATTTTCTATCCTTAACTATGATGCTACGTTGTAACTCCTGGATTGCCTTATTAGGTCATTGAGAAATACATATGCACATGCAACTCCGAAAGGACTAACATGACTATTGTATTGAACAGCACTGATGTATTATTTACTGTATACCACAGTGGCGTAGCCAGTCTGACAATTTAGTCCCGCTATATATGCTAATATGTTGGTGCTCTGTGGATCACTATATTAACTTCATGTTTGCATAGCGGGACTAATTATTCGTCGGGCTAGTTACACCACTGCGGTGTCAATTATACAAGGAACGCGTGGATTTGGACTTGCAATGCATTTCAAATTTACACCAGAACACTGTCCTGTGAAAGGTGACGACCTTCGCAGCTATAGAGCGGTCAAGACGGGAGGTGACGTCATTTTTCCAGTATTCGTCATAATAAAAACTCATGCATCACGACTGTATAAACAAAATTTGTGCAGCTGCCTTATATAAGTTTTTCGCATATTAATTGCTAGGACCGAAATCCTAAAATAGATGAGGCTATTTGGCCGTGCGTATAATTCGTGGCCACTGATTGGTCAAATTCCAATAGCCGTTTGTAAAAAAATATTTCCTGCAATAGATTGTTTTTTCCAAATGCTCACCTTTGTAACCACACTGAACCAATTATTCGACTAGCTCGGTAAATATCACTGAATATTTTTTCACATTTCTAAAATATACCATATTTATTTAATGGCGGATTACGGATATCGAAAAACGCATAGGTCACAGGGTATAACAATGTCAGTAAAATGTCTTGCAAGGCCTGAATTACATGCAGCTCAATTACAAAATACGTCAGAATGGATTTCTATTTCGACATCCCTTCTGATTGGCTAAAATGGAGGTGAAATTTATATCGGATGGCGATATATAATAGCTAATTGTGTAATAATTTTTATGATATGCCCTTTCGTTCAGTCAAATCGAAGCGAAAAGCTCATTGAAAATAACTATATAAATATAGGCGTGTTTAATATTTCCAAATCGACTGAGTACAAATGTTGCCAGTGTAACGCTGGGAATCAAAAGTCCTGGCTTGCACTTGTAAAAGACAATTCCGTTGTTTCGTTCCAGTTTAGATCTTTCTGTTTTCATTTCGACGGCGATACCAATAAGGTTATTGAGACATATGTGTTTAACGTAATTGATGTTTATCGTGGAGGTCAAGTATTTAACTAAGCACACATGCATCAAATTGAATGTGAACCGCGGACAAGCGAATAATTGGCTTTATTAATTTCATGTCACGAATGCATATAATTTTATAAGGTCAAACTTTAGTGAATTTATTCACGAGACACGCTGATTTGAAAACAACGACTATATATAGACACTGAATTTATAATTATACATCTGTTGTGAATACACGAAGGCAAGCAGCGCTTCTTCACTGCGTGCGTACATGCATGTATCATAAATTTAATGTGGTATGTGTTACTACATGTTTAAGAGGTTCTTTAAATTTATGTAGTTCCTGGTGGTGGGAACGGACACATGTGGCCGCTTCTTTCCTGCGTTTTCTAATAAATAACAAATGTTGAAACATGTACTGATTATTTATATTGTATACGGCTATACGCGCGCTCGCATGGTAGATTCGCGCCGAAAGCATGCACATAAACACTTTTCATTCTAAGTTTTCGAATGAAGTTATTCAATACTGGATTCCACTTACAGCTCGAGTTTTCCTACTCTATCTTAAGTCTCGCAACGATGCATCCCGCGTGACCCAAGTCTGTCACCCTAAAATTGTCCAAAAAATAAACTTACGGTGATTAATCTCATAACGGGCAGGGGTCCGTGGTATCGCTGAAAGTGAAAAAACAAAGCTGTAAACAGCCCCCAGTTGTTGTTGTAAATATAGAAGTCAGCGTGAACGCAGCGGGTAAATAAAACCGTAACACACTATGCGCTGCGAGTGTTTGGAAATCACGCGAGCACATCGTGGGAACGGCAGATGAAGCGTGGTAAAATATACTTCTTCCTCGGCTATTTTTACACTTTCCTGATGTTGATAAATATAGTGTACCTCCTGCGAGCGCGCGACTCATTAACGCACAGCGATAGTTCGAATGGTTCCCAAATCTTTTGGTGAGCGCTACCAAAATTTGAAATCTTAAAAACCTGTGAACCACAAGATTATCATCGATATAGCCGTCGTGTCCTTGGACGATTTTTTTTGCATTTTTTTTTTTAAAATGACAGTTGTTCAAGAGAAAAGTCTTTTATCCCTTTTACCGGGTTGTCTCGCTGACCGAGCCAGCCCGGCTCCCATATAAACAGCCCCTTAGCTATAGTCAGAAGCGTTAGTAACATGTTGCATGCATGATCATGAGTAGTAAGAATGTATATAATACTGTGTTTCTCGTTAAGATATAAATTGTAAAGTTATCTACAGTAACTAAACTGAACTGGTTTCCATATATGCAGTATTGCATTTATTACTTCTGATATTTAAAGCAAATAAAGGAGAATAAAAATGACATATTGATGTGATCTGCGAAGAAAACGTTTCCTGTTTGAAGTTTAAAAGAAAGACAAGCTAGAACGCCATCTGAGGAAACTCGTAGTACAAGGGCTTTTGACCACATCGGTTAACCAACTCGTACTCTGAAGCACTAGAACTACGCATTTTTTTCCACCACGGCATGAGCAAACGTAAATTAATTTGTGCTTTAAGGGATCATCGTTCTCTCGAGTCTTGTCATGTTTAGCAGCTATACCTATATACGTCGTCGCCTAGTCTAAAATGTGCATTCTTCGGCCCTTGGTGGCTAAACCTCAAAACTACTCAGAATGGAATGTTATCAAGAGTAATATAACGTAGGTAAATAAAGATATGCTCTATATAGTTGACCTCGGCAAAAAGTTATTTTTTAAATGATCAATGCGCAAACGGAAATTTAGCGTCTTCGAGTAGTATCGATATGGTATGATGCATGGACTTAGCTACCATCTCGGACGTATAGGCGGCAAAAATACTCCAGCCGTATGCCGGTGTTCTAAACATGATTCTATTTTGCTTGAAAGTGAAAAACAGATTAGTGAATATTTCAATAAGACAATTGAGGAATGAATGACTTCGAGAAATATCACCTCAAATGTTTTGGTATGTCTTCGGTTTTTAAGTTAAAAATTTTAACAACCGTCAAATTATGCAAGGTTGCTGTTAATTAGGATTTCACAAGTCAAATGGCTTTCGATAATCCCGACTTAAGTATATATGCATATAGCATGCTTCTAATTGTTTTGATCTATATCAATTTATAATATCTTTCAATACCTTACAATAGCGTTCTTGTCAGGAACATGCCTTTCACTGATTTTTGAGATAACGGACCAAATTTGGTTTCTAATCATTTATGTTGGCATATACTCATTAAGGCGGACTCACTTTGATCTGCATTATCCTGTGGTCTTTTTTGTACGTACATTCACGTAAAAAATGAATGTTTTACGTAACTATATAATTGTGCTTTACTGCTTTAGCAAAACACGTTATATTATACACTTAATATATGCTCCCGAGGGAAATGGTGAGTTTTGTTTTCTCACGTAGTTGAGGGAAACATTTGGACTCGAGGGAAAACAAAACTCACTACTTCCCTTGGGAGCATACATTAAGTGCTTTGTTATATAGAAACAAAAACATATACATGTTACACAACAATTTCATTTCACAAAAAACAACATTTTACTTTGTCTTTGTTATGACAATATGCCGGCAACAATTTTTCACTTGTTTCTGGCGAGAAACATTGCATTTATTTAAACTCATGTGACTACGAATGAACCAGTCACATTTACAATAGACAGTGCCTATATAACAATGCTGTTCACATGTATCCATATATCAACCTCGTTCCCAGGATTTCACAGAAGACCCAGCATGGGAACGAGCCTGTTTCGTTGAACGAGGTTGTCCATTTTTATGGATTCAAAATGATCTCGCCCGTATTGGTGATAAAACAATCATCCCTTGTACGCTCAGATCAAGTTTTTAAAGATAACTAAAATTGATTCTATTAAAACATCTTTGTAATAGACATTGCGAGAATATTAAATTACAAACGTAACTTTTCACCTTATTAAAAAAGTGTTTTTGCTGGTGTATATCGCGATGTAGTAATAATCTCTCTCATCCGCAAAGGCTTTCGTCGGGTTTGTAAAGGGTTTTACGGTTTTATAAAACCTCTGCGGAGAAAAGGTAATTAATGCCGTACAACAAATAACGCTAATATCCCTCAGTCAAGCACTATGTTCAGTTGAACTTCTTTTTAAGTAAGATTAATGAAAGATTAATGACATCTTTCGGCACGTACCAGTGTAGCGGGTAAGTAATTATCCGTTAGTGTTGAACGAGTAGGTGTTTATGCAGAAAGAAAATACTTCAAATTTCAGCAGCTTAGGAAATTTCTGGTAAGTTATAAATAGGAACCATTCAAGATGTCGAATAAGTCCAATCGATTTTTGTAGCAAAAAAAAGCAAATTAATGTTCAGTCAATCATTACAAGTGCCGCCTCATGCAAACAACGCTGCAATGTAATAAACTAAAAGTGAATAGATTCGTGAGTAACCAATTTTTACACGTAGGGATAATTTAAAACAAGGCCTGTGTTGGATTTTTAAAAATAAAATAGACGGTTATAAACAAGGAGTGCACCCAAAGGGTTTTGATTTGACCGATTACACTTGCGCGATTTTTGCTGCGATTTTA